TATTGTAGAGATGAGGTCTCACTGCCCAGGCAGGTCTCAAACCTGCAGGCTCAGGCAATCTACTCACCTCAGCCTCCCAAAGGCGTGGGATTACAGGCTGAGTCACCGAGCCCAGCTCTAATTTTTTTATTATGCATTTCTCTGTCTGTTTGCTCTTTCTGTATGATAGTCTCAATTTTGTCATTAAACTCTTGAATTTTTTGTTTTTGCTGTCATGTTTTTACTTTGCAAGAGCCGTTTTGACTGTTCCTCTGTTATAGCATCTTGTTCTTGTTTATGGATGCAATATCTTTTTTGACTTAAGCATTATAATGATATTTGGTTTTGTTTGGTGATTTTTCAACCTCCGTGAACTTTTTTACAAGTTGCTTTCCTCTTCCCCCACTTGTTTGGCTTCTCTCCCCTTATTAAATACTTTCTTTGGGCATGTGATAATCCTTGTTGTCTTTTTCATGCTCGAGATAAAGGGCTTTAAAACTTACTAAACATGTGGGTGAATCTTGTCTACCATAAATTTCACTGTAGACATTTTGGGAAATGGCAGTGTTTATGTCTTTAAGTCTCCTCCCGGGTTGAACAGGTTTCCTGAGTAGACCACAAACCTCCTGCTTGGGAGTAAAGGTCTGACTTTCAGAGGTCTGGGAACCTACTGGGTGAGAGGGCTGGGCAGTGGTGGAGGTAGGGAAACATCTCAGCGTTCAGCGTTCATGTTGCACTTGGTCATTTAAACCCTCTGTTTGGGGTATGACATCCACTTCTTTATTTGTGTCCAGTGTCTCACAGTCCAGGGACTCTGTCTTACTCCTCCTAGCATAGAAATCTCCAGATTTTGCCAAACAGGCAGGGACAGTTGCTAGTGGCTTGGAGTGGGGAAGGAACACCAGAGATCTCTTTCATAAACCACTTTGACTCAGTCGTCCTTATTTTAGCCACTTACTTCAGTTTCAGAGGTACCTAGCCCCAGAGCCCTGTAGATTCTAGGATGTACCTTGTATGGTTTTCAATTTTCCCAGTTTTGGATTGAAGTTTGGCTTTCAGGGGCATTTTAAGTCCATTACCATTCATTCTTTCAGCAAGTCCTTGTCTGTGCCAGTCCCTCTTCTAGGTGTTGGGGATGCCTCAGTGAAAAAAATGCAGACAAAAACCCCTCTCCTGGAGATGCTCACACTTGAGTAGGAGGGCAAGAGAGACAATAAGCAAAAGGAAAACATTCCAGCACATGTTATTACATGGTAAAAGTAAGTCAAGTGGTTTGGGAGTTGTGAGTTTGGGGAGGGAGTAGGGAATACATGATTTGTATTTTAAATAGTATAGTTAGTGAGAAGATGAAATTTGAGCAAAGCCTTGAAGGAGGTCAGGGAATTAGCCAGGGATTGGGGGCAGAGATTCCAGGCAGAGGAGGTAACCAGAGCAAAGGCCCTAAGGCAAGAGCAAGTCCGGGACTTTTTTTTTTTGAGTTGGAGTCTCACTCTATCACCCAGACTGGAGTGCAGTGGCCGCTCCCGGCCACTGCAGCCTCGGCCTGCTGGGCTCCGGCGATCCTTCTACCTCAGACTTCCAAGTAGCTGGAATTACAGGCTCGCGCTACCACACCAGGCTACTTTTTTTCATTTATTGTAGAGATGAGGTCTTGCCAAGTTGCCCAGGTGGGTCTCGAACCCGTGGGCTCAGGCCATCCACTCACCTCAGCCTCCCAAAGCGTGGGATTACAGGTTGAGCCACCGAGCCTGGCTAAGTCTGGGACTTTTAGGAAACAGGAGGCCAGGGTGCTGAGAGAAAGAAGCAAGAGGGAAGATTGGAAGAGTAACCTGGGTCCAGATGGTTATAGCCAGCGATTTGTATCTGTTTGGGGCCTTAAAGACTTGTGCTCTGACTCTGAAAAAACGGGGGTCCACACTGTTGGGATATTTGGAACAAGAGTGATGGGACCCAACTTTCTTTGTAAAGGATTGCATGGGGGACCTTTGCAGCTTTCCAGGTGGGCAAGGATGGTGGTTCAGAGCAGAATGTTATAGAGGAAGTGATGGCGAGGAACGGGCTCCATAGCGCTGCATCCAGCAGGTAGACACTGGCCCCAGGTGGCTGACCAACACTTGAAACCTGCTGGTCCACACAGAGTTCCTGTAAGTGCATCATACACACCAGATTTTGAAGACTTAATATGAAAGAAAGGATGGAATGTATCTTGCTAATTTTTTATTTTGATTATTTATTGAAATGGTAATCTCTGGGGCATGTTGGGTTGATAGAATATATGATTTAAGCTAATTTCACCTATTTCTTTTTACTTTGAAAAATGTGGTTATTTTGAAATCATACGTGTGGCTTGCATTTGCACCTTACAGTATATTTCTGTGCTTTTGGGGGTATTCTTGGAAGGAGGAGCCGGCAGGATTTGCTGATAAATTGCAGAGGAGAGACTTCAAGGCGAAACTTTGGGGTTGAGCACCTGGAAGGGCGGAGTGGACGTTTGCCAAGATGAGGAAGGCTGTAGGTTTGGCAGGTGTGTGGGGAGATCAGGAGTTTTGTTTTGAATATGTTAAGTTGTAGGTGTTTATGAAACATTTGATTAGAGCTGGAAACTGGGCAGTCTGATGTGCAAGTCCAAGATTCAGGGGAGCAGTTCAGGCTGGAGATGAAAAGTGAGCAGAGAATGTTCAATTTTGAATGCTTATTCAAGCTTGAAAAAGCTTGAATGCTTATTTAAGGTATGAGACTTCATGGAATCACTTTTCTTCCAAATGATTTACAGCTTGCAGAATCACTTTCCCTGTCTTTGCAGGCTTATGTCTTTATTTTGTTGTGTGTTTTTTTAGTTATTCATTTCTCTTATGGGTTTTGAGAGGGAGCCAGATTGCATACGTGTGTTCATTTCACTACCCAGAACTGTGTTGACTTCTTTAAATATGTGTGGTTGTTTGGTTATTTTTCTGGCCTTTTTGTGTGGGAAGAAAAATGCCCATGAAATTGTAGTATTTGGTAGCAACCTTCCCCACTGCCCCATCAGCCTTTCTGGAGAAATAATGGCTTCTGCCTTCCCCATAGGCAAGAAGGCTGCTCGATCTTGCCACAGTGAAGGGAAATGGACTGGCCTCCTTCCTCCTACAATGTGCTCAGGAGTTGCCAGCCCCGTCAGCCCCACCTTTTGAAGGTAGGTATGTGTTCTCAGTTGATCAGAAAGGGAGAGGAAGTCAGCACAGACTCATAGGCAAGAGCAAGACATACATCAGCTAGCACCCCACACACTGGCTGCACAAGCCTCCATAGGAGACTCATCTTCCTCATTTTAAGGCTCATACCATCACCTGTCTCATTGGGCTTTGGGAAGGACTAATGGGGTAACAGCATATCATGTTAGCTATTAGCTTTCATTGCACTGTGTGGTGATAATTGAAGCTACCATGTATTGAGGGCTAACTAATGGTGTTTCTTACTATCCAAGCTCTCATGATCTCACCACAAAGATGTAGAGACACTTTCTTGAAATTGGGCCAGTATCTCTTATCTCTAAAATTTAGCTACTCACAATCAAAAAATAAGAGTCAGGTGGATTTAGGTTGGGCATGGTGGTTTACTTCTGTAATCCTACCACTTTGGGATGCTGAAGTGGAAGAATCCCTTGAGGCCAGGAGTTTGAAACCCGCCTGGGCAACACAGTGAGACCCCATCTCTAAGAAAGAAATTATCTAGATGTGGTGGTGTGGGCCTGTAGTCCTAGCTACTTAGGAGGCTGAGGAAGAAGGATAGTTTGAGCCCAGGAGTTTGAAGAAGCAGTGAGCCAAGATTGCACTACTATACTCTAGCTCAGGCAACAAAGCAAGACCCTGTTTCAAAACAACAAACCAAGAAGACTCAAGTGGACTGAGAGAATGCAGTATGCCTTAATGTCCACAGTCACCAAACTCAGGAACAGGAGAGGCTTGGATAACACAACTTGAACATACCAGGGATCCTGCCAGGGGCTTTATGACTGACATCTTCCCTTTGCAACAACTCTGAGAAGTAGGTGTTGTTTTTCCACTTTACAGATATGGAAACTAAGCAGGGAGATTAAATGATGAGGGAGGGGGAAGGTGGGTCTGTCGTAAACTGTCCCCACTTTCTCCTTCTCTTTTCTCTTTATAACTGAAAATTTCAGTTATAAAGAGAAGGAACTGGCCCTCTCAGTTCCCACGTCACTAGAGGGTAAGCTCACTGGCACTGAAGTTCCCTGAGCTGTGCATGGTGCTGGCAGATGCAATTATTGCCTGGGCCCTGTCCTCTGGGTAGCGAGCAAGCCTGTAGGAGGGACAACTAGAAGCCTGTGCTTGGCATTTGGATGTGCACCGTCTAATCTAAGAACAGGATATAGACATCAATCAGTGCATGACTTGGGGGTGCACAGCACTGAGCCCGGTGCACTGCTTAGCCATGGTTAATGTTTGCTGTTGGTATCTCAAGCACAACTGTCTACTTGGCAATTGTAACACCACACCAGGGTGCAAGATTCTCCGTGCTTCTAAAGGTGACAGTTGACATGTTTATTTCCATCTCTCTCTCTCTCTTTTGAGTCAGGGTCTTTTTTTTTTTAGACATGATCCTGGCTCACTGCAGCCTCAACCTTTCAAGCTCAGGTAATCCTTCCTCCTCAGCCTCTTGAGTAGCTGGGACTGCAGGCATGCGCCACCATGCTCAACTAAATTTTTGATTTTTTTATATAGACGAGATCTTGCTATGTTGCCCAGGCCGGTCTCGAACTACTGGACTCAAGTGATCCTTCCACCTTGACCTCCCAAAGTGCTGGAATTACAGGAATGAGATCTCATGTCTGGTCATGTTTATTTCTCTTTAAAAATGAGAGAGAATTTTTTTTCCTGGAGAATTGTGATATCATTGGAGATTGAAAATCAGATTGGAAGAGGATGATATATATCTGATATATATTGGAGAGGAAGATATGTATCTTATGGTCTCTGTTCAGTGCTCCTGATATATCCAGAGGTCAGAAAGAGTAACAATGTTACCAGTGCTGGGAACAAAATAGGAGACACAAACAAACACAGGGTATCCCTTTGGATGACTTTGTAGATATTCTTCAGCCAGCTAAGAGCTCTTTGTGAAAACTGCTTGTTAGCCTTTGGGTTGAAAGCAGCTGGGCCCGTCCTTGGCTGGGTGAGGTTGTGATGGGGTGAACCAAGCTGAGGTCCCCCCAGCCTGGGACATCAGCAGCACTTCCTCATTCCCTGAAAGGGGAACTGAACCCTGACATAGGAAATGGCTCGCTCATTTGGTTTCAGGATGATGAGGGAAATACAGCATCCTCTGGACATGCTCTGTACATGAGAACTCTCCCTGCATGGGGAGGTGGAGGCAGGATCAGACTCTTGTCCCAGTGCTTGGCTGGGGCACCTGGTGCCCCTGAGGCCTTCTGTTCCAGGCCCACCCCAGTCACCTGGGACCATCACCCCATCTCAAGTCTTTTGATTTATCACAATCTGCAGAATCCCTTTTACCATGTAAGGTAGCATATTCACAGGTTCTGGGGATCAGGACAGGGGCATCTCTGGGGGTGCATTATTGTGCCTGTCACACCCACTAATAATGATGATAAACATCATTTTTTTGAGAGTTTACCAAAGGTCAGATATTCTTCCAAACTCTGTTTTATGAGGGAGGAACAACAACCAAAGAGACCCCAGAATTTATTTATAAACAATTGTGTATTTATTCTTACATGTTTAAACTTCAGTCACCTTCAAAGTACTCTCCATTAATGCAACACACCTACCAAGAGCTTTTTCAACTGCTCAAAACGGTTTTTGAACTCATCAATTTTGATGGCTTTTAATGCTTCTGCTATTTTTTGTTTCACTTCTTACACATCAGAAAAATATTTCCCTTTGAGAAGTTTTTTTTTTTTTTTTAATCTGGAGAAATAACAAAAGAAGCTGCTTGGGGCAAGATCAGTTGAATAGGGAGAGTAAGGCACAGGGGTCATCCCATTTTTGGTCCAAAACTGCTGAACATCAGTGCAGTGTGGGCAGGTGAGCTCGTACATCACCCATCATGAAATGGGCAAATGAGTTGAAAGAATCTCTGAAAAAAAATTAACTGAAGCCAAATACAGCCTCACTGATGCCGATGGGTTCCTAGAACACCTACCTAGCAGGGGGAGCTTATACTACAAGGGGCCCACCCTCCAAAAAATAATTCCATTTCTCCCCACCAACCTCGTATTTCATGCCTCCTGAAATAATCCTTCGAGGTGTGGATTGTCATTTTTTCAGATAAGAAAACTGAAGCCTAGAAAGGCTAAGTAAAGGACCCTGGTTTCAACCCGAGGTGTGTCTGACTTGAGAAACTGGGTTCCGAAGCCCTCAAAGCTTTTGTTTCTCTTTAGAAAAAGGCAACAGAGGCTGAGTGGAGAAGGGATTTATCTAAGACCTCCCAGTCAATATGGTGAGACATATACCAGACCTCAGGTCTTCTGGTCCCAGCCCACGGCCCCCTTGTATCTCCTGCAGTTCCTCCTGGTGTCAGTAGTGATAATGGCGGTTGCTGGTGTCTTTTGTCCACTTCGTGTTGGACACTGTGCCAAGCACCTGGCATACATTATCTTAGTTGATCTGTGTGAAAACTCTAGAAGGTAGTGACCACCATTTCTCCCATCTAACAGGGGCAGAACCCAAAGCTTAGGGAGGTTCTGTGACTTTCCTTAGAGTCCATAGCTTGTAAGTGGAGGAGCCAGGATGGGCATCCCCTGGCTGTCCTGTCCCCCTTTCTCCTGCAGCAATCCACTCTCTGGTCAGGCCCCGTCTTCACCATGGTGCCAGCCTCCTGTGCCTCTTCTTCTGCCTTCCAGCTACTGCGTGTAAGAAGTTCACGTCCAAGCTGAGAACCACGGTGTCTGCCCAGTCTCGCTTCCTCAGCACTTATGACGGAGCGGAGACCCTCTGCCTGGAAGACATCTACACTGAGAATATCCTGGAGGTCCGAGTGGAAGTGAGTGCAGCTGGCCCCCAACAGAGCCCTGCCACCCTGGGCTTGGAGGAGCTCTTCAGCACACGCAGCCACCGCAATGAGGATGCAGACATGGTTCTGGTGGTGGGTGAGGCGGGCAGCGGCAAGAGCACGTTTTTGCAGCGGCTGCATGCGCTGTGGGCTGCGGGGAGGGGCTTCCAGGAGTTTCTCTTCGTCTTCCCATTCAGTTGTCGGCAGCTGCAGTGCGTGACCAGACCGTTGTCCGTGCAGACACTGCTCTTTGAGCACTGCTGTTGGCCCGACACTGGCCAGCAGGACGTCTTCCAGTTCCTCCTTGACCACCCTGACCAAGTCCTGTTAACCTTCGATGGCTTTGACGAGTTCAGGTTCAGGTTCTCAGATCGTGAGCGTCATTGCTCTCCGATTGACCCCACGTCTGTCCAGAGTCTGCTCTTCAACCTTCTGCAGGGCAACCTGCTGAAGAATACCCGCAAGGTGCTGACTAGCCGGCCGGCCGCCGTGTCAGCGCTCCTCCGGAAGTATGTCTGCACAGAGGTCAATCTCAAGGGCTTCTCGGAAGAGGGCATCAAACTGTACCTGAGGAAGCGCCATCGTGAGCCCGAGGTGGCAGATCGTCTCATCCGCCTGCTGCAAGCAACCTCGGCCCTGCATGGTTTGTGCCATCTTCCTGTCTTCTTGTGGATGGTATCCAAATGCCACCAGGAGCTGTTGCTGCAGGAGGGGGGGTCCCCACAGACCACCACGGACATGTACCTGCTGATCCTGCAGCATTTTTTGCTGCGCACCTCCCTACCAGACTCAGCCTCCCATGGTCTGAGGCCCAGCCTCCTTCGAGGCAGGCTCCCCACCCTCCTGCGCCTCGGCCAACTAGCTCTATGGGGGCTGGGTACATGCTGCTACTTGTTCTCAGCCCAGCAGCTCCAGGCAGCGCAGGTCAGCCCAGATGACATTTCTCTTGGCTTCCTGGTGCGTGCCAAGAGTGTAGTGCCAGGGGGTGCAGCACCCTTAGAGTTCCTGCACATAACTTTTCAGTGTTTTTTTGCCGCGTTCTACCTGGCGCTCAGTGCTGATGTGCCGCCAACCTCGCTCAAATACCTCTTCAACTGTCACAGGCCGGGCAGCTCCCCCTTGGCCAGGCTGCTACCCATACTGTGCATCCAGGGCTCGAGAGGCAAGGAGGGCAGTGTGGTGGCTTTGCTGCAGAAGGCCGAGCTGCACAACCTTCAGATTGCGGCGGCCTTCCTGGCAGGGCTGCTGTCCCGAGAGCACCAGGACCTGCTGGCCGAGTGCCAGGAGTCCAAGAAGGCCCTGCTCCGGCGCCAGTCCTGTGCCCGCTGGTGTCTAGCCCACAGCCTCCGAAAGCACTTCCACTCCATCCCGCCTGCCGTGCCAGGGGAGACCAAGAGCATGCATGCCATGCCCGGCTTCATCTGGCTCATCCGGAGCTTGTATGAGATGCAAGAGGAGCGGCTGGCCCAGGAGGCTGTGCGTGGGCTGGATGTTGGGCACCTCAAGCTGACATTTTGTGGCGTGGGCCCCGCCGAGTGTGTGGCCCTGGCCTTCGTGCTGCGGCACCTTCGGCGGCCCGTGGCCCTGCAGCTGGACTACAACTCTGTGGGTGACATTGGCGTGGAGCAGCTGCTGCCTTGCCTTGGTGTCTGCAAGGCTCTTTAGTGAGTGTTGCTGGCACTGCTGGTTGCTGGTTGGGCACTGGGGGATGCCACTATCAAAGTTGAGTGTGGGAGTGCTGGGTTGGGATCCGGAAGTCTGGGCCCAGCCTTGGCTCTGCCACCCTTCCAGGCAACCCTGGCCAGATCCCTCTCCCCCATGCCTCCGTTCATTCATATATGACAATAATAGCCATCCTTTATGGAATGGTCTGTGTGCTAGGCATGGTACTATACCCCGAAAGTACCTCATGCAATCTCCACAGCCACCCTGAACTGTAGATAAGAGCATTATTGTCTCCATTATCCTTGATTTGAAGTTCAGAGAAGTGAAGTAGCTTGTCCAGGGTCACACAGGAAATGGTAGAGCTGGGTGGGGTTCACAAATCGCTTCTTTCTTGTTACAATTCTCCTGCTCCCCATAAGTATCCAGTTTGTGGATATGCTTAAGAAGCTCCCTGAGAGCCTAGAGGTCACATGCAGAGTTTCATGGAATATGTTTGCATTAGGAACTTACCTCAAAGAAGAGGTGATTGTGATCCAACAGACACTTTACCATCTCAGCTAGATGGGAATTTCAGGGCCCAAGAGCAAGAAAGTGGCTGCAGTTTCACTTACTCTTCTGCCTTCATAGCAGTGTCGAAGCAAGATTTTCAGTATCACTCAACCCGCTTTCAGCCTCCTGGCTGAGGATGGGAGGTTTTACCCTTGGGAATGTCTGTGCCTGCAGCCTGTGAGCCTCTTTCCATGTCTTGAGGCAGTCGAGGGCAGAGGGCGGGCCTGGGCCTGGGGATCAGTGTGCTGCAGCCTCCCTGGCTTCCCTGCAGCCTTAAAAGGGGATGTTTTGCCCCGTATTTAGAACCTGTGAGAAAGTGGAAGTTGGAGATTAAAGTTCAACCCAATTCCCAGCCTCCTGGGGCCTTGGCCCACCCCTAGACGACTTTAACTGACCTACGCAAGGGACAAGCCTCTCCTTCAATATATTAGGATGATATATCTTCTCTGAGGCAAAGCAGCAAGATTTTTTTTCCACATAGACCAAACACATGGATACCTATTAGAAACTGTACAGTGACTTTTGATAACCCTTACATAGAGACCACGGTCATAAATTTATAGTGTAATAATCGTATATATATAGTATGTGTATTATGTACAATTAACATATATTATCAGCATGGATATACCCATCAGTGTCTTGGAGGAAACAGATGCTGCACTTAAACTGAGTAACTCGAGGAGAGTTTAATAAAGAGACTGATTGCAAAGGCATGAGCAGGAGTTAGGAGGAGCAGGAGGCCTGGGGTTAGTAGCAGTGGGAGTGGGGGATTACGCTTGAAGGGGAGGGAGAAGGGAAGACATCGAGGGCTGTCTGAACTTCAGCCTTCTGAAAGGGCAGGGCCTGGAAGAACAGAGCCTGGCCCTTCCTCTCCTCCCTGACTCTTGTTCCTGCCCATGCCTCCTGCTGGCTGAACCCCACAGGGAGGTAGAGCACTGCTGGTTGGAGTCCTCTGGCCTCAGTCTCCCAGGATCCCAGAGCTGGATGGAAAAGGGGGTGGGGGATCTGGCCAGACAAATGGAAGATAGCCAGCAGGATACTCTATCTCCCCAGGGGGGAAGAATCATGATGTTTTGGGAATTTGGAGGCCTCTCTCTTGGAGCTAGTTTCCTGACAGCAAGACAAAGGGGCATTTTCCTGGCTAGTCGACCCACAGTTTTTACCAGGTTCTCAAAGAGGGTCTTGAATCCCAGGAGGCCAGACACCAGTGGATGCTACTCACAGGCCTGTCCATCCCTAGAAGTCTTGAATGGATCCTTCCTCCTTGAATAAGAGTGTCTACATGAACCCTGGGGCGTGCAGAAGGGCTGGGGAGAGGCTATGGGTCTGTCTCTATTTTTGGTGACAGGTGAGGATGACCTGGTTCTAGTTCACGGTGCTCAGACTGTAGTGTGTAGAAGTGCCTGTTGAAATGCAGATTCCTGGGCCTCTAGTGGTTCTCAATCAGTAGGTTTGGGGGCTTGGGAATCTATATTTTTAATGAACATCCTTGGTGATTCTGATACAAGTGATCTCACACTTTGAAGCCTCCTGGTGTACAGCAACCAGCTTGATCATCCATCAGCAACGAAAGTCTTTGAGCAAGTTCTGCTCTTTGCCCTACATACACACCAACATTGTCAATACTAGGGGGAGGGGAAACAGCCTTGAAGATGCTACATGGGCATTTCCTGTGTGAGTGTGTGTGTGTGTGTGTGTGTGTGTGTGTGTGTGTGTGTGTGGCGGGGAGGGTTGGGAAAAGAAGGCGAGGGAGGGATCAGATTCTTCTCCCACAGTGCCAAGCTGCATCTCTCCCACTTGGAGTGTTTCCATGCCAACCAAAATCCTCAGCCTCTAGGAAACCCCATATACAAAGTGCCCCTATATAGATTTCTTTAGACTCTGGCTTTCTCTGACTCTAAGGTGATGGTTTTTAAAGTTTTCTGACTGTGACCCAGAGACAGAGAGGGAGAGAAAGAGAAACCGACCACTGTGTAAACTTGAAACAAAAGCTTCATGAATTGACAATGACTTTCCTTTATTAACACTGATACACTCTGCTCTGTTCTTCTGTTCTGTTCTATTTCAGTTTTCGAAATGCTGCTCAAAACTTGTTTCATGACCTGCTGACAGGCCACATAACCTGCAGTCTGAAATCACTGCGACAGAAGCCCATGAATGGCCATAAGAGAAAAGCTATATAATGTCATGGTTGAGAATGGGACTTGGAGCCAGATTGGCTTCGGCTCAAATCGTTTATGTGCTGTGCAACCTTGGCAAAATCACTTCACTTATCTGTGCCTCAGTTTCTTTCTCTCTAATAAACATAATACTAATGCCTACTTTGTGGGCACATTGGGAGGATTAAATAATGTTACTGGGAAGTGCTTAAGACTGTGCTGGGCACATAAAATGCCCTATCAGTGCTAGCGATCATGATTACAGGTGACTTTTACCATGTGCCAGATGCTCACAGGGCTTTCTGTGCACAGCCCGGTGAGGTATGTAACACCACTGTTCCCTTTTTATAGATGAAGGAATTAACAGAGAGACAGTAAGTGGTTGATCCACATCAGAGCTTCCAGCTGGGGCACTCCAGAGCCTGAGCTGTTTGCCACTGAGTCAGGGCCTCCCAAGTGTGCCTGAAGGTGAATAATCGTGTGCACAGTTGTTAAAATATACAGATCCCTGGGCCCATCGACACATCAGGAATCACCAACCCCAGGGTAGGGGCCTGAGAGTCTGTATTTTAGGGAAGCTTTCAGATGATCTTGTGACCAGGTGAATTTTGGGAATGATGTCCCAAGAGGAGTGTCAGGACTTGCTAGACACTCCTGCAGGAGTGGAGTCATTGGGGTTTAGGACTGGCCTTGCTAGCTGCAGCCTGCCTGCCTGTTCCCAAAGTTTTGGCCACTCTCATTCAATTGGTCTATCATTTGGCAGCCTAGATGATGTTATGTCACCGCTGGGGTGGCCTGTCTAGTTCTAGCTGCATCTTTTTCATGTGTCATTCCCTTTCCACTGTGGACCCGTCTGTGAGGCTGCTGTGATCATCATTTTCCTTTTACAGACATGAAAACAGTGCCTTGGGTAGGATCTGTGACTTCGAGGATTTCAGTGTTCTGTATAGTAGGGGCTCTGGGTCCCCACTTCCTGGGCTGTCCCCACTACCGTGCACCATGTCATCTCCTTGGCTGGGGATGTCGGGTCTCCACTTTCCTGGGGTGTGTTCTTCTTGATGTGTCCCACAAGCACAAGTGCTGAGTCTTTGGGGAGGAACAAAAGTCTCTCTTGGGGTTTGTACATTTTTCCTCTCTCATCAGGCCTATTTTCAAGTTGATCTATTGTGTCTTTTTTAGTTTGCGGGATAACGGTATCTCTGACCGAGGCATCTGTAAGCTCATCGAACGTGCCCTTCACTGTGAGCAGCTGCAGAAGTTGGCGTAAGTCAACCTGGGCAGTGGCTTCGGGACCTGTGTCCCCCAGCCCCACCCAGGCCATGACACCTAGGCAGCTGTGAGTGAGTGATGGTCTGGGGCAGGGGGTATTTGCATGACGGGGAATGCAGGTGGCTCCCACTCAGAGGCAATGGGCAGCCCTGGGATTGGGTGCTCACTGTCAAATGTGCTTTGTCTCTGTGTCTCCTCTCTCCTTAAAACTGAATAGTCTGTTCAACAACAAGCTGACCGATGGCTGTGCACACTCCATGGCCCGGCTCCTTGCGTGCAAGCAGAACTTCCTGGCATTGAGGTGAGCTCAGGGCTTCCATCTTCCCTGGAAATGGTGTTTTCCCTCGCAACTGAGTCAGTCTGGTCTGACTTTGACCTGGTCCTGCCCACACGGGTCTTGTGACCTCCTCAATGAATACAGGAGAAGGGTTTCTCGAACTCTGGACTGGCTCTGCCGAGGGCATCCTCCTTTTTGACCTTTGGCTCCCAGGGCAAAGAAGTGTTTCCAGGCCCCTTTCTTACCCTGTGTCTGAGACCACCACAAGCTCTCTGGGCTCACTGAGTTCCCCATCACGTGTCGAGCTTGGCCTCCTAGGGGAGGCACACACAGTCACCTGCCACCCAGCTGTGGCAGCCAGTTGCTGAAACACTCCCAGGCCCTTCCATGTTTGGTGAAGGCAGGGTTTGTGCTCCCATCTGGAAAGTCTGCATTTCTGCTGCTGCAGAACCTCCCAGTTTCAGCTGGAATCTCTCTCACCTGACACCATAATGTGCCCTTCCAGCAGGTTCCTGGGTTGGTCAGGCTTCCATCTCTCAGATATTCTTGCATACTGTGATTTGCAAGGTAGTGAAAGAAGACAAGGAGAAGACAAAGGGAAGAATTGCTTCCATCCCCTCTTTCTCCTTGCTGGGCTGGGAGCTGCCATTGTCGTGCAATTCAGTCTCAGCCAGGGCTGCTGAGGCCATAACCTTGGTGCCAACTCATATAAAAGACTGTCCTGCTACTGCCACCTGCTTCCCTAGACCCACAAACCTGGGAAAGGCTGCGGCCAGACCTAGCAGCTGGCCAAACCCAGAAAGGCCTATGGGTAGCAGAAGGGTGCTGGACTCAGAATTGGAGCCTGGGTTTGTGACCAATACAGTAGTCCTCCTTATCTGCAGGGGAGGTGCTCCAATGGATGCCTGGACCCTAAGACAGTAATGAACCATATATACATATTACACTTTTCCCTATACACACACACCTATGACAAAGTTCAGTTTATAAATTAGGCATAGCAAGAGATGCACAATAATAAATAATAATAAAATAGAACAGTTACAACAATATTCTGTAATGAAAATTATGTGAGTGTAGTCTGTCTCTCAAAATATGTATTGTACTGAAATCACCCTTCAATGCCCATGTGGAAAGAGGAAGTGAGAGTGACGGAGGCATTGTGATACAGCGTTAGGCTGCTGTTGACTGTCCATACGTCAGAAGGAGGAACCTGGATCATACAGCCACAATGATATTGATGGCTGGATGTCAGGAGCAGACTACGTCAACGAGGCAGAGAGCCATGCAGTGTGGATACGCTGGACAAAGGGACAGAGCCGCATGGCATGTGATCAGAGTAGCGTGCAACTTGAACATGTTTGAATTATTTCCGGACTTTTCCATTAATATTTTTAGGCTACAGTTGACCATAGATATCTGAAAATATGGAAAGCAAAACTGCAGTTGGAGCCACTGTATATCATCGTGGTTGAGAGCAGGGGTTCTGGAGCCACATTCCCTGAGGCTGGAATCCAGGAACCCTGAGATTTGAATCCTCACTAACCATGTGGCCTCTGGGCAGCCCAGTGTTGCTGTATCTGTTTCCTTTTACGTAAAATAAGGATGATGATAATAGTTACCTTGTAGGTTGTTGTGATAATTGAGTTGATACACATAAAGAACTGACCATGTAGGAAGAGCCTTACAGTGTGAGCTCAGTGAAAGATGGCAGGTGAATCATGTAAGCTCTCAGCTTGTTTGTCCTTAAGTCAGGCCAGTCCTCCAGGAGGGGATTATGTGTGCAACACATTTATTGGAGAACATTCCTATGAGGGGGAGTGGGGAAGGGAGCTGAGGGAGGCTAGGAGTCTGATCCTGAGTGAAGGAGAAAGGGAAAGAAGTTTGGGAGGAAGTGCCTTGGACCTCAGTGCAAGACTGTTGGGGAGTCCTTGAGCCAAATTTGCCTGGCTGTGGAGCCTCAGGGCTCAGGCAGTGGCTGGGGCAGCCGGTGGGAAGCTGGCCTTGGGGCAGACACCATGATGTGAGCTTTCAGAGCACAGCATCTGGGGCCCTTGGTTACCCACAGGGAGCTGAGCTTGGAAACCTGAGAGGCAGTCTCATGACTGCCACACCCCTTCTCAAAGGGTACAGTAATACTTGCCCATAGGATTGTTGTGAACCAAGTGGCTTAAAATGTATGAAAAGACTCTATGCCAGGCGCAATGGCTCATGCCTGTAATCCCAGCACTTTAGGAGGAGGAGGCGAGAGGATTGCCTGAGTCCAGGGGTTTGAGACCAGCCAGGGCAACTTGGTGAGATCTCGCCTCTACAATTAAAAAAAAAAACAAAAAACTAGCTGGGTGTGGTGGTGCACACCTGTAGTTCCAGTTACTTGGAAGGCTGAGGTGGAAGGATTGCCTGAGCCCAGCAGGTCGAGGCTGTAATGGCTGTCAGTGTGCCACTGCACTCCAACCTGGATGACAGAGTGAAACTCTGACTCAAATAATAATAATAATAATAATAATAATGATAATAAAGATTCTGTGTGTTATTATTCCAGGAAGCCTGGGGCTGTGGGTGAGAGTTGTGGGACTTCTCTGAAGCTCCCTGGGTATCTGGATTTGGCTGCATCTGGGGCCTTTCTTGCTGGGATCTCCCCAGCCTAGGTCCTTCCTCTCTCCCTCCTGGAAGGCTGGGCGATATCTCTCTCTCAGATTCCTGGGCCTGCCCTGGGCTCTTATGGAACAGGTAAATGCTACCTGTAGCAGCAGTGGATCTGAGAAAGCTTCAGGGGACACAACAGGGTCTAGACTGAGAATGACAGAGACCAGAGAGAAAGGTGTGACAATGAGTTACTCGCCCACCACCTCCTAGGACGGCTGCCTGTTGTGGCTCTTGCAGACATCACACTGCTTTAGAAAGAAACAGCTCCCCTCCCCTCCTTTCCTTTGCTGGTGGAAAATGAAGTTGTGGAGCTATTGAGTCAGCTTGGCCAAGCAGAAACAGCACATGTGGTGGCTGCATCCTGGGAGAGGCCCTCAAAGCTTTTTTCCCATGTTTCCCTGCCCAGGGCGTGGACGGTCCTTGGGCCTCATCTTCTGGCCTCAACTGTGCTCTCTCACCCTCCTCTGTCTTCCCTTCCAGGCTGGGGAATAACCACATCACTGCCGAGGGAGCCCGAGTCCTGGCGGAGGGGCTTCGAGTTAATACCTCCCTGCAGTTCCTGGGGTAGGTTGGATTCCAGGAAGAGCCCGTGTGGAGGGGTTGAGAATTTCCAGGATCTGGGGGTGGGTGGAACTCTTCCACCAGAAGGCTCCAGAGCAGCCCAGCCGCAGTGGGGAGGAAGAGGCAGGGAGAGTGGGTGGCCTTGGCTGCCTCCACACTTGTTTCTTCACCTGGTAAACAGGAAATTCAGGATGTTGGTCTGGGGAGTAGGCAGTGCCCATGAACAGGTGACAGGAAGCCCTCTGGTCCTCAGCGGGTGCTTAGGGTGTGCTCCGGTAGCATATTGCAATCACTTGGGAGCTTCGAGAGAACACCACATTACCTGGGCCTCACTCCAGACTAATGAAATATCAGGTATCAGTCATTTTAAAAAGCTCCCAGGGAGTATGCAGTCAGGGTGAGAAGCACTGACTAAAGAAAGAGAAGGGGCTGGGAACGATGAGTGGATCCAGGGCGGGAGGCGACTGTCCTGGGTCTTTCAGAGCTCTTGCTCCCCGTAGGGCCATGCTAGGACCTGCCAAGGAGGAGAGACTCCCAGAGTGCAGGACCCCAGAGTGGAGCTTCCTCTGTCTGCTGGGCAGAGTGCTGTCACCGAGGGTCGTACCCATGTGGCCCCCAGCAGCTGCTCTCCTGTTCTGCCATGCTCTAGTGTGAACTGGGGTCAATTGGACAAGAACTGAAGATTTTAGAACCTGAGACTATAAGAAGGGAGTATAACCTTAGGGTCTATGTTTTCCAACCCATTTCACAGGGGGGCAAGTTGCCTCCAAGTTCAGTTTGAGCCAGGAGTGGGACTATGCTGCTCTAGAAATCAGTGCCTTTTCCACACTGCATTCGCAGTGTGAGTCTAGAACGAAGGAGGCCACAGCACCCTGAGCTCTCCTCTGCCACATCTGGGGTATTTACTTCACGTTCAACACATATTTATTAGGGCACCTGTCTGGACCAGGCACTGTGCTAAAAACTCCAAACACTTTGTATCATGTGATACAAACTGGTCTTGCAACTTACTTATTATTATTATTGGGTTTTTTCTATAATAAAATAGGAATTTTTAAAAGATCATTATGACTTCATTCTTTAGAGAAAAGCCATATAATAATCCACGGGTTAGATATCTGTAACCTATTTAACCTGTTACCTGTTGATGCATGCTTAAGTTGTTTTTGGGCTTTTTGCTATTATGGTGTCATATACCCGGAGCATGGAGCCATGTTGTCACATAGCCAGAGCTCACTGTATATTTACCAAATAAATAAAAGTACAGTGAGCATCTCGGTTCAACTGTCTTTGTGCACATACATGTGTTAAATTCCCGCATACACAGTGATAGCTGGATCAGAAGACATGGGCTGGGCTTTACTTTTTGAAAAGGAAGTTTCCAAACTAGTGAATCAGAGGATGACCCAGAAGATGAAGGAGTTCGATACCATGAAGGAATTGGGGGCGTTAAGTAGGAGCAAGAGACACAGAGCAAGCTTGTGGAAGGATCGTTAGATTTGTTCTGGGCGGGTTCGAGAGGGTAGCTGAGGACTTGTGGGTGGCAGTTACCAGGAAGAAGTTCTGAACTAAATGTCAGGAAAAATGTTACAACCATTAGAATTGCTCTGGAGAATGAATTCTCCATCCCTGAGGGTTTGGGCTGGGTGGGCTTCTACTGTCTTGAAGTTTGTAATTTAAAGACTGAACACTCCTGAGTGAAGTTTGGCCATCCCACCAAAAAGTTGGAGGCAGGTCTGTTTTGCTGGGACTAGTTGCCCCAAGGAGACCCCTCTGGAGCTGGGTGGCTCTGCACCTCTGGCTAGGGCTACAGCATGGAGGGGCACTGTTACTACATGTCTGGAATATTCATCAGGTACTCACTAACATCATCTGTTAACTGTCTTGGCCTTCTCAGGTTCTGGGGCAACAGAGTGAGTGATGAGGGAGCCCATGCCCTGGCTGAAGCCTTGGGTAATCACCAGAGCTTGAGGTGGCTCAGGTAAGCTTCAGAGTCTTTCTTGCAGTTGTCAGAGAGGGAGCCAGGGGATGTGGGAGAAGCTTGGGCCAGTTCTGAAGGTCTTTTTTTTTTTTTTTTTGAGTCAGAGTCTTACCCTGCTACCCAAGCTGGAGTGCGGTGGCACACTCACAGCTGTCACAGCCTTTATCTTCTGGGCTGAGGTGATCCGTCTGCCTCAACCTTCCAAGTAGCTGGGACTACAGGCATGTGCCACCAAGCCCAGATAAATTTTTGATTTTTATTGTAAAGACAAGGTCTCATTAAGTTGCCCAGGTTGATCTTGAACCCCCAGGCTCAGACAATCCTCTTGCCTCAGCCTCCCCAAGTGCTAGGATTACAGGTGTGAGCCACCACATCCGACTGATAGTCTTTAAACTTATTTCTACCCATCCATGTTAGGCAGTGGAGTAAGGAAGAAAAACGATTGGATTAGAAGTCAGGACAAGTAGCCTTTCTGAGTGACTGGATATTTCCCTTTCCCTCTCAGGGTCTTAACTCCCTATTTGTAAATTCCAGATCTTTGGCTGGATCAGGCACATTTAACTTAAGAATCAACTCCAACCCATTGGTAGTGGCTGCCCAGCACACCAAGTTGGGGAAGATTCTAAGTCTGTTCTTGGGCTATAATCAATTAATGATTTCTAAAAAAAGGATGTTAAAGAAAGCACTGAATCAATTAGCAGTATCTGAAATTGAGCAGACTAGAAGAGTGCCATGTATTTTGTCCTTCATAGGTTAGCTCACTCTGAGGTCATTTCCTGCTCTGACACATTTTTGTTTCATGATTATATCCAGCCTAGTGGGGAACAACATTGGCAGTGAGGGTGCCCAAGCCTTAGCACTGATGCTGGAAAAGAATGTCACCTTAGAAGAGCTCTGGTGAGTTTGGGGCTTCTCTGCTCTGGGGAGGTAGATAACAGCCTTTTCCCTGGCCTCATCTCTGAGAGCAGCTGTGTGGACAAGACAAAGGTGGAAGAGTGAGTGATTGTGTTTGTCTTATATGTACAAGTGGTATGAAGGTTATAGAGCCTGGTGTATAGGTGCTAAGTCTTTAATTAAATGTATTGGTTTGCTGGTTTTTTTACTGCCTTAATGTGGCATAATGATTAAGAGCACAGACTCTGAAATCAAGCAGGTTGTTATTTTAGGCAAGTTAAATTATGATCTCTGAATCTCAGGTTTCACACCTGTCCAGTGAGGATAAGAATGCTTCCAACTATAAAATATTTTCATAAAAATTAGATAAGGTAATTCTTGTGAAGAGCTTAATATAGTGCTTAATATGTATAGGCACTCCGGAGATGTTGAATTATAACAGTGGCAGTGTTACTATCGCTATTACTGTTGCAACTGCTGCTAATACAATTATCACTAGTACTATGATGACTACTAGTACTAAAGTTTTGTTATTTCACAGTGAATTTGAATTTATAAAAACGCTGGGTATTAGAGTCAGGAATCACCTTGGAAGGTGGAATGAAGTTTGGGTAGTTGAAAGATGAATCATGAATAATGCTTATCCTGTTGACCTGAAGAAGATTCCAAGTTTTTCATCCTTAGATGCCACTAGTATAGTCTTCTGCCATGTTATGAGTAGTTCCAGATTATATCAGGGAGGTAAAATGCTTGATTTTTGCAGAAAGGCACTGAAGCATATGGGCATTACCACAAGGAGATATTGTGGATTGACCTAAGCTGTTGGCAGGGCTCACTAGCTCTATGGAAACCATTGATTATATCCTCATTAAACTTTGTCACTTGCAGTTTCTTAATAAAGGAACACCTCACTGTGAGTGCATCAGCTATGAATACTGTTGGAAGAAAACTTTAGACAAATTTAATTTAGCAGAGCTAATTTGAGCATAGAGCAATTCATAAGTTGGGCAGCACTCAGAATCAGGAGAGGTCCAGAGAGCTTCACCCAGCAATGTGGGCAGGCAGAATTAATAGACAGAAAAAGAAAATGACATAGAAGCTTCATTGCTTATAGCTAGGCAATTGCCTTATCCGGGCATGGTGTGATGAGGCATTTGCTTTATGTGGACATGGTGGGATCAGTTGTCAGCCTGTGATTGACTGGAACTCAGCTGCCGTGTTTAACTGAGACTCAGCTATCTATTGCAAGAACATATTCTTAAGTTAGGCTGTAGTTTGTTACACACTGAGTTAGGTTGCAGTGTGCCACATAGAAGCTCAAAGTATGGAGGCAGCTTACCAGCGAAATTTAGTTTAACCCTACATCAGGCTTCAGGTGATAGAAAGCCTCCATCTACAGGGGCTAAGGGTTTATTTTTTCCATGTGTAGACAGTTTGGGGCAGGGTAGGCAGTGTAGGACTCAGATAGTGGCTACAAGAGGCTAGCAGGGGCTTCTACTCTGTCTCTTTGTTTTTCTGTTCCATCTTCCTTAGCCTGTGACTTCATCCTCTTGGCTGTTGCCTCATGATCACAAGGTGGCCGCTCTGGCTGCAGCACTGCTTTGGTATTCCAGGATTCAGTCTGTAGACCCAGGAAGGCCTGCAGAGTTTTTCTCTGTTAAAAAGCATTCCTGGAAGCCCCACATGGCTGCTCCAAACAAAATGATGCTTCCATTAATAAGGAAGAAAGGGAAAATAGGTATTGGAGAGCTGGGACATGAGGGAACTTGTTATATAGAAGAACCCCAGAGTGAATTCTTTTCAAAGATGTCCCTGGATTGAGAATCTTCACACCTTACTTTATTTGTTCTTTATCCATAAGTTTGGATTTTCAGATCTTGAATTTTCTAAATGGGGAGCATGTGAGTTAGTCTTTGTTGTCATCGTCTTCCATAATGAACATTGTCATATCAACTGAATTTTCTCTCTTGTTCTTACTAGCCTGGAGGAGAACCATCTTCAGGATGAAGGTGTATGTTCTCTCGCAGAAGGATTGAAGAGGAATTCAAGTTTGAAAGTCCTGAAGTAAGGAACCTGTAAGCAGGTGCCTGGACAGTAACAGCCAGCCTGGGAAGGGGCATTTCTGAATCAGATCTGGGCAGCTGCCCAGCCTGGGTAACTCACATGCGGTAACCTCGTAGAAACTAGCTTGTCTTGGTCTGGGTAGACTAGGATTCTAGTGCAAGTTGTTTACTTGGGAGGTGGTCCGAACAAACACCAGTAGGGAAGTGAGGTGAGACGGGGAAGGGAAGGTAGCCCATAAAGGGAGGTTACTGGTTACCTCTGAGAGAAATATTGCAGCTCAGTACTCCTGGTGCACTCCAGGAGCCAGCGTAGACCTTGCCTGTCTACCTATCCAGCCAAGGGGCAAGAAAGCACAGGTATGCTTGTAAGCTGTTCATTCTCTGGCACTTCTAGCTTGCCCTCATGTGGCTGAGCATGTTCCTGAGGTCAGGACAGGGGCCTCAGGCAAGAGTGGCAGGTCTTCCCAGTGAGCAGGGGGTAGGAGGTGATGGGGTGGGAGCGCTGTGGCTTCCTCCAGTGGCAGACTCAGTGGCTGGGACCTGTGCCGTAGGAGATGGACGGCCAGTGTGAACAGGAGCCCACCTAGTGACCACCATGGGCCTGTGTTTGGTGCTCTCTGAAGCTGGTCTTGAAGGTCTCATTTCACAGGGACCTCAGGGAGTCATCAGATGGCTCCTTTTGCTAGAGGAAGGTGGCATCTGCCCTGTCAAATGTGACCTGAGGAAAACACTTGCTTTCAGAGACAGACAGCTATCTTCACGAGAGTGTCAACTTTGCTACCAGACTGCCAACCATGGTGGCAACACTTGCTTGTTGCTTTGCAGAGGCTAGGAAGTTACTAAGTATTTGGAGAAATACTTGGCACTTGGGTGGTTGTGGGCTGGGAGGTTGGGTGAGGCCTGGATTTGTCTGAGTTAGATGCCGGCTTGCCATGCAGGGAGTCTTTGGCAACACTAGTCTGTTATTGACCAGGTGTGAATGTGGCAAATTTATCTTCCCTCATTGTCACAGACTTAACCCTCTGGACCCCAGTGGATGCCAGGCAGTGGCACTGGGAGATGTCCCATGCTAACCTTGTCATCAGCCTCATTGTTCAGTATCCTGAACTATATTATCCCCACAAAAATTGGACTTTTGATATATCTTTTTTTAAAAAGAGAGGGGCCTACATCTTTCTTTTTCCAGGCTTAGTCTCTGCCAAGAGTTGGTTAAGAGTCTAAGCTCAAGAGCCAAACATTTTCCCCCAGCTCTGCCATTACAGCCAGCTCTCCTTGGATGAAGGCTCAGTTGCCTGAAGCATAGATGGAGATAATGATTGAACCTTCCTCATAGGCTTGTGATTCACTGACAGAATGTAGGAATAAGCGGCACCTAGTAAGAGCTCAACAAATATTGGCTGTTATTCTTAGCATTGTCTTGGGGTCAACTTGTAAAAATGTCCTAAAGTTGTGGGGGAGGGGTGAGGAGGGAGTGGATAGTATCTAGTAGGCAAAGCTTTTAGCACAAGAGCAGCACAAGAAACACATGGCTCTTCCCCTGCTCTCCCTTACCTTACTTAGCTTCCCCCATCATTTTCAGCCACCTCTTATTTTCTCCAATCTGTGTCCCTATGCCCTAAAAGTCCTCCCTCACCATGGAAATATTGCTGTTCATTGGTTGTTTTCTATCAGTTAGGTACTATGTCAAGTAGACATGCAGAGAGTGGCAGGCCTTTTCGGCGAGCAGGGAGTGGGGTGGTGATGGGATCAGGGGAGCTATCGTGGCTTCCTTGGGTGGTGCACCCAGTGGCCAAGGACCCAAGCCACAAGGAGATAGGAGCTTACCTAGTGGCTACCACAGGTTTGATTCTTATACTCCATGACATAAATATTCTTTTAGACCCTTTTTACCAGTGAGGAAATTGGAATTAATTTGCTTAAGATAAAAAATGAAGTAGTGTAGGTTGGATCTGAGCCCAGAAAATCTAGCGCTAAAATGCAGGTACTTAACCACTATGCAACAGCACCTTCCTGAGAGAGAGGCTACTTAATTAGATAAACGAATCTGTTGAATGGAAACAAGAGGGGTGCATTTCACTTAAGACATGAGTTGATGAGCTCACCATGACTCTCAGGGAAGGAGCATGTCTGGGAACAGGTGGGTTTCAGTAGGCTGGCTAACTCTGGAAGCCTTCAACTGGGCAGTCTCAAAAGGAGAACCAAGAATCCTTGAAGCTCACCATTCCATCTTTTTTTCCAGGCTGTCCAACAACTGCATTACCTACCTGGGGGCAGAAGCCCTCCTGCAGGCCCTTGAAAGGAATGACACTATCCTGGAAGTCTGGTAAGGCCCCTGGGCAGGCCTGTGTTACCTCTCTGAGCCTCACTTTTCCTATCTGTAAGATGGGCTGAGGGGAGAGAGAAACATCAGAATTTCAAAGATCCCTTCTGCCTGTGACATGCAGTGTCACTCTGCATGTGATGGATCTAGTTCTCTATCTGGAAAAGAAGTCTTTACATATTTCGGTAGGGAGCAACATTTACATTTAAAAATCTTGAGTATTTATTTAGAAACTTCTGTGTTCAGAAGCAATAGGGGAGGAATGGTGATAGGTTTGAAGAGTGAAAAGAAGAGAAAAGATCCCAGCTCCTGCCCTCCTGGGTATCGCATCTGCCTTCACAGGCCATAGATGTTGTGTCAGTTAGGTACTGTCTCTGCAAGACTTGTTCTGCAGTTTGGGATGGAGGTTACACAGGGTGGGAACAGTTGCACAGTGTAGACAAGTCTATCTAATTAAAAGCCATTGTTCTTCATGTATTTGAAAAAACCATTGAGTCACATCTTCAAAGATTTGTCCTCCTCATTTCCAGAGATTCATTTCTCACTCAGATAGTGGGTACAAAGTTTTCCCATGGGCTAATATGCTTTGAGGGAATGTTACTGTATATGTTTCAGCACCAGACAAGACACCAATATTTAAAAACCAGGAGATTTCCTACAAAAATCTGTATTTCAGGATTTTTTTTCCACAGGTGCCCCAAGCATATTTTTATTTACTTATTTACTTTTGAGTTGGAGTCTCATTCACTCTGTTGCCCAGACTAGAGTGCTGTGGCACACTGACAGCCACCTCAGTGTTAACCTGCTGGACTCTGGCAATCCTTTTGCCTCAGCTTCCCAAGTAGCTGCCAGAACTACAGGTGCGTGCTACCACATTTGGCTAATTTTTGTTATTGTAGAGACAAGGTCTCACCAAGTTGCCCAGGCTGGTTTCGAACCCGCGGCTCAGGCAATCCACTTGACTCAGCCTCTAAAGTGCTGGGATTACAGGCTGAGCCACCGAATTCAGACCCAAGGACATTTTTAAAAAGGCTTCAATGGCCTATAGTACTCTGGGGGCCCGCCCAGCTTGCATGTGATGCCCAGGGTCTCCCTCCAAGGGGCCACCACATGAGGATTTATGGCTAGTGACCACCACTGTGGCCTGTGCCTCTCATGGGCTCTGGACAGTGATCCCACTTCGGGAGTGAGTGGGACAAGGGCACAGCTCTCTTCTGGGGCCCTTGAACATGGCTCAGGATGTACTCTGGCCACAGGGAGCTCAAATAGGGAGGGCATAGGCTAGACTGTCTCCCTGTGGGGTTCCAGCCTCCCCAGCAGCAGTAGGAGCATCTGTGCTCCGTTTTCATGATGTCCTTCCAGATGTCAGCTCCAGGATGTGGGGGAGGGGTGTGCTGTGCGGCCCTGCTCCCTGGGCAGGCCGCTGTCGACCATGGTGTGATCTCCATGATGGCTCCAGAAGCCAGGTGGCAGCACCCGCCGAGGATGGCAGCAAGGTCAGCAGCTCCAGGAACTCAAGAGGCCCGGTCCCCCAGTTGTCCACCCGCAAGATGCAGGCGCGCATGGGCCCACCAGGCTCTGCCTGAAGCACCCATGGCTCTGGGTCCATGTGGATGGACCCCAGCCCACTCTCAGTCATGGCTACAGCTACCCAAGGCGGGAAATGGACACAAGGGATGGCCGGTCGTCCAGCACCCACAGGAGTCCCCTGTAGGAGGGAGCAGGGGAGGTGGTTGGTGGGGCACAGGGTGGTTTTCCCAATGACTTCGCACTTGCAGACCCTCATTCATGATGCCAGGAATGAAGCAGAGTAGAGGAAGGTTTGAGCCTTCTCAGATGGGCAAACCCACTCTGGCTGACTGCAGATCCACCAAGCCAATTAACTTAGATCAGGTCCCTTGGTTACCTCATCTCTGTAAGCTCCTCTGAATATGCAGGCCTTGCCCTCTCTCAGAAAGTGACTCTGCAGCAATTGGAGATATCAAGTTAAAAAGTTAAAAACTTCAAAACTCTGTCCTGTGATGGAGAGATTTTTATTTCTGCACAGTTGTGTCCTCCCCGTAGCCTGTGAGGCCATCAGGTCCTTGACAGAGTATATTTTTGTTTTTGAAGCCATTACACAGTCTTAAGAAATGTCCCTTTCTGAGTCTGGGGAGCCAGCCAGGACCAGGTTGATATGTTAAGGGTTCCCACATGACTTGCCGCCTGTTGATGGAGCTTGGGAGGGCACCAAGGCTTGCTCATTGCATTCTTGATAGATTCTGTTGTTGCCTTAAAAAGCATCATCAGCCTTGGGGAGTCTGCGGCCCACTGGGTCCAGAGCTATGGACTCTCTCTCTGCAGCGTCACGGAGCTTTACTCACCATGCAGGGTGATTCAAGTGCTGCCTTGGGTAACAGAGGGTCACAGTAGCGCAGACTTCCCTCCCAGGAGCACTGCAGCCAGGCCGGAGGGTCAGCTCATCCTGGGCATGGATTTGAAGAATGGCAGCTTCCGTTTGAAACCACTGCTCTAATTTTGTCCTCACTTGAACCTCTCTTCACTTGATCTCCTCTAGGCTCCGAGGGAACACTTTCTCTCTAGAGGAAATTGAGAAGCTCAGCCACAGGGACTCCAGACTCTTGCTTTGATGCCTCTGGGTGGATATTCCTCTCAGTTTGTGAGCAAGCCTGGGTTTGGGCCCGGAAGCTGGATGACATCTGGTAGCAGCCTATTCAGACTAACACTGTCTTGCCTAGGGCTGAATTTGTTTCTGGAAACACTTTTTTTCTGCAGAGGAAGGAGCATCAGTGCCCTCTGGAAGAGACTTGAGAAACTCTACTTTTGCCATCGACTTCTTCCCAAATTCAATACTGGGATATAGAAGCAACAGTCCCTTTTTTCAGTGTAGAGTTGGCATCCAGTGGGTCCGCCTGGGTTCCCGTGTGGGTCATTGGGGGCCCACAGTTGTGCCTGTTAACTGAATGCCCATTGGTGTAGAGACCTGGACCCATATGAAGGACCTCTGCTCACGCCTCATGAAGTATTCAGAAAGCAATTTTCTACCATGTCTCAACACATGGACCATCCATCTAGGTCACTTCGTACCTCTGGTTCCTTCACCCCTCCTGGACTTCTGTACATGCTCCTTCCTCTGAGGTTGGGATTCAGAACATCAGTGATCTCAACTTTGATATTTCATTTATTGCACCCCCAGTCCTGGCACCTAGTTTGGGGAGGGCTATATACCTTAACCTGCTCTCCTTTCTGGGGCTGACGACATTTTTGGAAGAGGACACATGACAGCCGTTTGTTCCTGAAGACATTCTAGGTTTGCAAGAATAATATGACCACACTCCAGCTGGGATCACACGTGGACTTTTTTATTTCCATTGAAATCAATTACTCTTCAGTTAAGCCTTTGGAAACAGCCCCACTTTAAAAAGCGCCAAATGCAGCTTTAAAAAATTAATCTGGGACAGAATTTCAAACGGCCCCACTAGGCTTCTGGTTGATGTCTGTGAACTGAACTCTGACAACAGACTTCTGAAATAGATCCACAAGAGACAGTTCCATTTTATTTGTGCCGGAAAGCTTTAGGATACACAGTTGTGGATTGAAAGTTTACAAGGGCAAAATCAGGCCCTTCCTTCTAAGCAAACATGTTTTTGGATTATTTAAAATGATGCATGTCAAAGCCTGTGTAAATTGTCAGGTACTGTGCAAATGTTATTATTTTAAACATTATTATGTGTGAAAACTAATTAATATTTATAAACCACTTTGTTTTATTCTCTCAAGTTTATACTTTTTATAGACAACATGACCATGAACTTTCTGCTGTAAATAATCACAGAAGAATAAACTATTGAGTCACCACAGCCATCTTCATTGTGACCAAACTTTTAAAAATATTCATAAAATGAGTCAAATTTTAAAGCACAATTTTCTACTTGAAGGGGGGGAAATGATGTTTTCAACCAGATAATGTATTGCTTAAGGCAAAAGCAATTCTTAGAAATAGCCCAGTGATCAAAACACATTTGGCTTCAGCTTAGAAAAGTTTAACCCAGCATGAAGTTTTAAGCCAAGCAGGAACCTCACAGTGTCTAGCCTAAAAGGATGCCACGTGAGAAAAGACCCCTCTGCCTCCCTCCATTCTTTCTAAGTGGCTCTGGGAGAAAGATGGAGAAGATTTGCAGATGGCTCCCCACAGCAAGAAGCTCCTGTGCAGGCCTTGTGTTGAAATTGTTCTGAGCTGCATTTAATGAGCAAGGGCTCAGGTGGCTTCTTACCAAAGAGAGATCCCACTTTCTGAAATGGGTTTTTGTGTCTGCCAGGCTCGGTGCTGCAGATTCTCCCTGGGCTCCTGCATGTGAGTGTGTCTGTAGCTTCTCTTTGTGGGTGGCACTTTGTTCTGCGCAGACCACTATTTTTTGTTTAGAAAATCAGGAGGAAAGTGGAGATCAGTCTGCTTTCTCTGAGGAGTAAACGTAGCAGTCCATTGACATAGTGCTATATTGGGTTGTACATTCACCTTCCTTAAATTCACTCAGCAATGACTTATTAGACAGTTATGTTAGGACAATCAGCAGATGGACAAAACAAACATGACCTCCATGCTCAAGGTATTTAGGTGAGGGAGAGGCAGGCAGAAAACATGTCAACTGAAAAATACATAAAAAGAAATCTTCAGACTATTGATCAGACAGGCTTTCTGAGGAGGTGCCAGGTAAGCTGGCTTTAAGACTGAGAAGGAACTGGTCATGCAAAGAGAGATGGGGAAGAAGAGAGATTCCAGTCCCAGGAAACAAGTTGTACAAAGACCCTATTGTGGAGAAGAGCCTGGTGTGTGTGGTAGGCTGAATAATGGCCCCCAAAGATATCCAGGTTCTAATCCCTGAGACCTGTGAATGTTGCCTTGCATGGCAAAAGGAACTTTGCAAATGTGACTTAGTGAAGGATCTTGAGGTGGGAAGATTCTTCACTGAGATTCTTGGATTACCTGTGTGGCCTAAATGCAATCATAGTCTTTGTGAGAGAGAGGCAAAGGGAAATTTGACACAGGAGAAGACAACCCTTGAGCATTGAGCAGGATGTTACACTGTTGGTTTTGAAGGTGGAGGAAGGGGCCATGAACCAAGGAATGCCGATTTGGAAGCTGGAAAAGGCAAGGAAACAGGTTCTCCCCAGACCCTCTAAAGGAAGTGTAACCCTGCCTGCTTTAGTGCCAACCCATTTTGGACTTCTGGCCTCCAGGGCTGTAAGAGAATACTTTATGTCATTTCCCACAGCAGCCATGGGAAACAAATACTGTGTGTTTGAGGAAAGCTGCAGGGAGGATGTCACTAGATGGGCTTGCAGTTGGCTATGGCCAAGAGTTTGATCTTGATCTCAGAATTATGATCAAGGCATTGGAGAGTTTCAAGGAGGGGAGATGTGACCCACCTTACAGTTAAAGGTCTCTTGCTCCTGGGTAGAGATGGTACTGGAATATAAAGGGCTGGGGATGGTAGGAAGAAGAAGTGGGGAGACCACCTGGGAGATATTGCAGGTAAGAAGAAGTTGGCAGTGGAGGTGGAGAGAAGAGGATGGAGTCCAGAGACATCATGGAGGTTGATTCCCAAGGGTTTACCAATGGATTGGAAGAAAGGGAGGAGGGAAAGGGAAAACCCAAGGATAAAAACTCACAGATTTCTGACTTCAGAAACTGGGAAGATGAGGAAGATGGAGAGGAAACGGTTTTGAAGTGGGAAGGAGTTATGTTTTGGGTTGTCAAGTATGAGACACCAAAATGGAGAAGTCAAGTGGAGATGTCAGATGATGGTGTGAGCTTGGAGCCCATGGGGAGGATGAGGCCAGAGATAACAGTGTGGGTGTCCTCAGCGTCAAAATGAGAATGGGGCCCTTGGGCCTGGCTGACATAACCCAGGAGTGTTTATCAAGAAAGAAGAGGACAGCAGGGCCCAGCTAAGGGTGCACTGAAGTCTTTGTTTGTTTGTTTTTGAGTTGGAGTCTCACTCCGTCACCCAGACTGGAGCACGGTGGCACACTCATGGCCACCCCAGCGTCAACCTGCTGAGCTCTGGCGATCCTTCTGCCTCAGCCTTCCAAGCAGCCAGGATATAGGCACGCACTACCACACCCAGCTAATTTTTGATTTGTAGTAGAGATGATGTCTTGCCAAGTTGCTGGGGCTGGTCTTGAACCTGTGGGTTCAGGCAATCCATTCACCTCAGCCTCCCAAATTGCTGGGATTATAGGTTGAACCACTGAGCCCAGCCGCACTGAGATCTTGACATGGGATTCCTGATAGAGTTCAGAGTAGGAGAAAGTTTATAACTTTCAGAAGTCTAACAGATACCAGCAAAAGTCTTCTGGACCTGAGTAGGTCACTAGTGAACTAGGATTCTTACTCTTAAGGTTCTTGGATAGGGAGGTTACCTGAAAGGTATGTGCTTATGGCCAGTGGCTTACCCAGGAGGAGACAGATTCTGGTTTTGTGGCTAAGAGGATGTAATTCAGCTGGGCACGGTGGTTCACTCCTATAATCCCAGCACTTTGGGAGGTGGAGGTGAGAGGATTACCTGAACTCAAGGGTTGAGACCAACCTGAGCAACATGGCAAGACCTCGTCTCTACAATTAAAAAAAAAATCAGCCAGTCATGGTGGCACATGCCTGTGGTACCAGCTACTTGGAAGCCTGAGGTAGAAGGATCACCTGAACCCAGCATGTCAAGGCTGCGGTGGCTGTGAGCATGCCGCTGCACTCCAGCCTGGGCAACAGAGTGAGACTCCAACTCAAAAAATAAAAAAATAATTTAAAATAAAAAATAAAAAAAGATGTAATTCATACGCACAGAAAAACAAGGTATTAGAGAAGAATTTTTAAAAGTCTCAGACTTCCATTCACCATTATCCTAGAAGAAAAGAAATGCCAATGTGCGTGCCCTCCCTGGCCCATAGTGCCAAAACAAGATGTTGAAATGAATACACCTTGCTGACATGTGAGAGGTGGAGTCGTATTCCAAGTGGCCAAGTTGAGACTGTAGCTTCATTCCGTTATTGACCCAGGACAGCTTCAAGGCTCCTTCTCACTCAGGCGAGTAGTCCAACCTAGTGTGGGGAGTGCCCAACACTTGGGGCAGTGCCTTGGCAATGCCCACACTTGAGAGAGTGCCCCGCCTCAGGCCCTGGGGACCAGGTTGCAGGTGAACAGTGAGGTCATAATGAACATTCCCTGGAGACTTGCATGGGGAGAGACTACAGTGAGGCCAACTGGCCAGCCAAGCTCTTTGGCTTGTGTTTCTCCAAGAAATAAATTTAATCCCAGCCTATGATCATTTCCTGAACAATCCACAGAACCAATACTGTAAGCATCACTCCTGCCCTGATCGATCACTCACCGTGAAAAATCCTTCCTTTCCAGAGCGCCACATTCCTGTTTTGTCTGTAGTAACAATTTCTCGACATATTCAGTTCCACATTTTCCCTCCTTCTCACCTGTTTTGCCTCCAACCCCAGGAAACAAGGGGTTCCTTTGGGATCTACCCTTGCCTAGATTACTGCACCAGTTTCCTAACTAACCTCCCTGTTTCTGCCCTTGACCTGGAGAGTGAACCTGTTAAAACATAAGTCAGATCAACTACTCCTCTGATGGAAACCCTCCAGGACTTCCTGTCTGGTGCAGGGTAAAAACCAAGGTCTCAGGCTGACATTCCCCCCTCCCCAATGTCCTCCCTGGCCCCACTTTTGCCTCTCACATCCTGCTCTCTGTGATGCAGCCTCAGCAGCTTCCCTGCTATTCTATGAGCATGCTAAGCACATTGCTGCTTCCAGACCTTCACACTTGTCTGTTCCCTCTCATGGGAATACTCTTCTAGACAGTGGTATCTTTTGCTTCCTTGTTTCTTCAGGTCTTTGTTCAAATCTGTTCCTTGAAGGAGTCCTTGCCTTAAAAATCTACCTCAAATAAAAGTTTTCAGTCACTCCCTGCCCTCCTTAATATTGGCTTCTCGGCATGCACTACCTGATTCACACTGTTTTTTTCTTTCCCTTGAATGTCAGCCCCATGAGAGCAGGGAGCATGTTCACTGTGGTGTCCTCAGAGTCTAGAAAGGTGCCTAGCACATAGTAGGTGTCAATACTGATTTGTTGAATGAATAACAAATCCACTCTTCTAAAAAGGAGGCAGAAAATAGAAGTTAAGGCAGATTATAAGAATGAATCACCCTTCTCCTGACAGTTAATGTCTGTTTCCCAAGGGAGGAAGGTTTTCTGGAACACGGGACCATTCCCGATGCATCAACTGCCCCAAATGGGATCCACATGTAACACAGAGGTTCCAATAAAGAGCATTAAGCCCCTTCACTCTGTGTGAGTGCTTTTAAAAACAAACATAGAAATTATTTGTCACTGATACCAGCAGATAACTCAAGCAGGAGAGCATGGATTTATATAGTTCAGCTGGATTAGTTTAAGGATGATTAGAGTAATCCCTTTTATCTTATCAAAAAGAGCTTTTAGGTGACCAGAGTAAAAGCCCCCAGATAGAATGTTCAGTGGTGCCTGGAGTTTCCCTTCCCTAAGAGATAAGCCATCTCTGAAGTAGAGATTCATCATCCACTGACCAAAACACTGTGCTGGGCTGCTATGGAGAAAGTTCCAGTACTGCATCCTCAGTTGTGGTGATACCTGGTCCAGTTAGCTCCATGGCCTAGTGCTCATTCTGAATGCCCATAATCACGGGATCAGTGGGAAAATGACTGGAACTATGGGAGGCTGGATGAACAGCTGGAAGTTGCCATTTACTGAGGTGGGAAGACAGAAGTATTGTGAGGAATGTGGAGATTATCAGAGCTCACTTTGGCTGTGTTGAGTGGAGATGCTGAGAACGTGGTAAGATGTCAAGTAAACACTGAGTTTGGTGAGGCTGCAAGCAGGAGGTCACCTGTGGCTGCCATTGGGAAGCATGGGGCAGGGGCTAGCCAATAGCCATGCCCAGACCTGCTAAGAAGGTTTCCTTTCCTGGAGTTCTATGTGTTACTTTAAATCCTAGGCCCCTACCAGGCTACCTGGAGTTTATCACCCTTGGAGAGAGAGCATCATTCAATTCAGTGGCTTTTTGTTGGGTTTCTGCATGCCATAAGAGAATGACACAAGACAGTTTGAGTCACACTTAATGTCCCTGCTTAAAACTCTTCATTGCTTCCCATTGCTCTGGTGGTAAAGACCAACCCCTGGCCCTGGCTCCCAAGACCCTCTTGTGCCCACACTGACTGTGCTTTGCCTTTTCAGCTTTTCAGGTCATGCACTTTCCTGTTTCCTCAGTCTGGAGTGCTCCCCACTACCCCCACTGCCCCCCACTGCCAGTTTTCTTTCCTATTTCTTTTTTTTTTTGAGTTGGAGTTTCACTCTGACACCCAGGCTGGAGTACAGTGGCATGATCAAGGCTTATCATAGCCTCAAACTCCTGGGCTCAAAGGATCCTCCTACCTCAACCTCTTGAGTAGCTGGGACTACAGGTTCACACCTCCATGCCCCGGTAATATTTTTTTCGTAGAGATGAGGTCTTGTTATGTTGCCTAGGCTGGTGTTGAACTCCTGCATTCAAGTAGTCCTCCCATCTCAGTCTCTTAAAGTGCTGGGATTACGGGTGTGAGCCACCATGACCAGTCTATCTTTCATACCTCATCTTAAAGGTGGCTTCCTCATACAGGCTTTCCCTGAGTGCCCAATCACCATTCAGATGAGCTCAGAGCAATTCTCCTTCTGAGGCTTACCACAACCATAATTAAGTAATCATATAATTAGTTGTTTAAAGTGTGCCTTTCTCACTGGAGGCAGGGGTGACATCTCTCTTGTATACTGCTGTTTCCTGGTACCTGCTCACTAACTCAACCACCACTTCCTTGAACCCAGGGCCAGGCAAGGTGAAACAGGCTGTGGGGTGATGGGACTGATAGAGGTAATCACTGGCAGCTGGAGCCATCTCTAAAGACCCCTGGGAGAGGATGGACTTTGGCTGGTCCCTACATGAAGAGAGGATTTGGAAGTCAGAGAGGATGGGTGTATCAGATGGGGGAAAAACCCTGGCTTGGAATCAGGATCCTAGGCTATCTCTTGGGTGATGGGGGCAAGGCACTTTCCTTCTCTGGACCTTAATGTCCCATCTTTAAAATGAGAGGCTGGTTTATCAAGGACTGCAAATAATAGCACCTCTGAATTGTACCCTGCATCTTTAAAATAAAATTTAAAAAAATAATAGCACCATGACACTATTTCCCCATCTCATCCTCTCTAATCCTGGTGAGCCGGAATATAGCTTCAGAATTATCTTCAACACAATGGTCTAGGCAGTCACTACCAATTGATAGGAGATGGTAATTGAGATAAGCCATGTTTGTCATGCTTGGCTTGGATAGATCTCTCGTAGATAGTCACCTCAACACTGTCTAATTCAGTTAACATGTGACAGGAGGACAGAATATGAGGAAGAAAACCCTGCAGAAGCAGAGAGCTCAGCAGCACCAAGCACCATTATCAGAAGGGACACGACAATGTTCCAATCCCTGGTGGCAAACTCAGGTACCTTTAGAGGCCAGTAGATGATGCAAATAAGAGAAGTGGTCCAGGAAGCAAAATAGGGACTGATGAGGAATGTAGTAAAATGAGGAAAGTGAGAGTATCTGTCTTTCTAAAAGAATTCAAAAGCTCTCCCCTAGTTCACTTTCTTTTCTCCTTCCTCCTCCTTACTGTATGGGTCAGGCAGAACAATCTTCAGGCTGACATTTTTTTTTTCTTTCAGACAGCTGGACTGTGACCTCTGAGTACTACCTTTCCTGAAGAATCTAGATCTAGAAGGAAATGGTGTTGCCTAAGGGCACACTGCAAAGCCAGGCCTGTTGATTCCTTTCTTGCTGCTTCCTACTGCAGTGTGGCCAGGAAGCCGGGAAACAGGATCATAGGGTGGACTAAGGAGGGGCAGAAGTGGATGGAGGCTTAGGTTTTCAAAAGATGTCCGTTTCATTTTTGGTGATTATGGCAAGGAAGAGGAGTGACCTGTTTATTACTGCTGCTAGTAACCACTCTTGAGATTGCTTTTAAGCATTCATTGGTTTAAATTCCCTAGATCTTCAGAAACATGTCACTTTCCACTGGGGAAATCTGTGTCATGATTAAACACACACACACACGCACACGCACACACACACAACTCTTTTCTCAGTATTAATCACCTTCTCCTATAATTAGTACTTAAAATGTCAAAGGAGAAGAAATTAATTAACAGGAGTATCCAGTGCAGCAAGGCTCTGGGACTGATTATAAAAAGCACTTCCTTAAATATTTTGAGCACTTTTGGGAATCAGAAGGCTTCCTTCTAATAAAAAGATCCTTAACTACACCCCGAGTTCTGGCTGGTGTTCAAGGGTGCAGGGCTGAGTAGGCGGCGTGTGAAAACCCCTTCTTCACCCTCCTTAGGCGACCTCCCTCCAACCTGGGATAGGTAGCAACAGGGATTCAGAAGCAGCAGGCGTCCCTGGCCGAATCTGAAGGGGAAGATGTTAACCTTTACCGAGCTCCTGTTGCGTGTCAGAAAATTTTGTACGGTATTTCACAATAGTCCTGTAATACAAGTGATACTATTATCTACATTTTACAGCTGAGGAAATTGAGGCTTAGCGTGGTTGTGACTTCCTTTGTCACACGGCGAATTAAAAAAAGAGCAAAAAATTCAAACTTAGGTCTAATCTTAAAGCTTTGCTCTTTCGTGTGATCCTGGAATCCTATTTCTAGCTTTCGTCTGGACTGCTCCCTAGCCCTACTCTAAGCCTGAGTTCGCAGTTTTGACAGATGAGTCAAGACCCGAGACCCTAGCAAGGGAGGTGGAGCTGGAAGAAGCACAACGCCCCGCCCCAGCTCCGGGATCAGCCAGTGGCGACACGGCACCCGCAGTCTCTCGTCCAATCAGTCAAAGCTCCCCGCCCCCATTCCCTCTTCGCCGCCCCTCCCCTTCGCTTTCCCTTTGGTTCCACCGAGCTTGACCGAGCGGAAAGTCCCTTCAGCCGGCGCCGGGCCGGCCGCCATTGGAGGAAGGTCTGTCACGGGGAGGCCCAATCAGAGCGCGCATAGGAACGCATCTCGGGCTGCGATTGGTTGGCGAGGCTATTGCCCCCTCCGCCCCCGCTCCCTCCTTCTCCTTGGGCGGTTCGGAGGCGGGGCAGGTGGGGGCGGGCCCAGGTAGCAGGTTCGGCTGCGCGGGGGCCCGCGCGTCGGAGGTAAATACTAGGGTAGGGTGGTGGGTGTGGGGCGCAGGGGCCGGCCCGGGACGCGGCTGGGGAGCAGGGCGAGGGGCAACGCCTGCCGCCCGAGGTGAGTGGGTAAGCGAGCGGGCGGCGGGCGGCCCTGGCCTCTCGGGCGCCCCTTCCCGGCCTCTGGGCGCCTGGAGTCGCCGCGGCGACCGTCGGGGCCTTGGCGCCCGCCCGTTAGTTGCCCCGGTTCGAGCCGGCCAGGCCCTCGGTTTGTCCGGCCCGCTGACGTCAGTCCGGACTTCCCCATCCCCGGGGCTTCCCCATTCCCTGAACCTTCCCGGGAGGGCTCCCGAGTCCTGGGGGCTGTCGTGGGGACCCTCGAGAAGAGAAGGCTGGCAAGGGCTCGAGCAGCGCGGGACGCAGTCTCCCTCTTCGAAGCCTCCTCCCCCGTTACAGATGGGGAAACCGAGGCACGGGCCGCTGGCTGGGTCCTGACGGCCCCAGTGGCTTCGAGAGCCCGGGGTCGTAATGCCTCACGTCTGTGCTGTGGGGCATCTGGATCGATCGGCTTTGGGGCGTTTGTGGCGCCCGTCCAGGAATAGCAGTTGGGGTTCTGGCCATGTTCATGGCGTGGCGTGTGTTTTTTCTTTCAGTTTCCCCCTTTCTAGAGTGAGGATGGTTTTACACGACAACCCAGAGTTCTTTAGTTGAAAGGTGCACCCTGTTGAGACTGTTATTCTTTCTTTCAGTTTTTCTTTCATATTTTCTGTGGGGAAATCGTGAAATCATGAAGGAAGGTGGTGTTCTTGAGTTTGGTCAGCTGGGTCAGCTGCTGGGTTATTCATGTACTTGGCATCTTTCCTATTCTACCCCTTAGCATTTGCGTGTTTTGGGATGGTTGTCATCTACCAGCCACCCAGCCTGTGGCCTTGCCATCTCCCAACCCCCATCATCCCTGCCACCCTCCTCTCCTCAGTTTTCCCTGGAAAGTTGTATCCCTAGGCATGCCTACTTTGCTTTTGAATTCTGACTGATTAGGGATTTTAATACGATTGTTCATTTTGCAGTCATTGGTTCCCAGAGAAAAACCCAGGCCTTGAGAGGGTGTTCATGCAATTGTTGTCTTTCTGCACACCCCCTCATGCCCCAAGTAGATTGAATGGCCCTAGGAATTTAGCCTGCCATTCCCCACTGGGTGGTGGGTGGATTTGAACTAGAACAGTATTAGGAGAACATTATTTGCTGGAAATTCTTGAAGTTCATGTACTCAGCATGTTGAAAACACCCAGAATGTTCTCTAATGTTCTGCTGTATAATTTTACAGTATTCTTGCAAAGAAGTCTTCTGTTGGGTGGTAACTTTTGTGAGAAGCTGATTAGAACAAGGCACTTGTTATATAAAACAACTACAAACCTTAAGCAGCAATGATTTCTGTAGTCTGGCACGCCTAAACTGTGGTTTGTTTGATTTAAGGAAGTCTATAACACAAGAAGAGAGAAAGGAGTAATTATCCTATTCATCAAACTGTTAGTGTTTTATTCCTAATTTTCACACTGTGGTCTTAAGTTTGTCAGGGCTTTTTACATTAGTTATACAGAATTTATAAGCTTCATACATGGTGGTGAGACTCAAGGAAGCTACTTTCAAAAGAACCTAAAAACAACTTGGTTTCATAATTGTGAAATTTTCCTTATTTGTTTCTTATATGTATAACAATAACCATGACTTTGGTATCCAGAGAATTAGTGAAATTTTAGGCAAAAATCATTAAATACTCCCAACTCTTGGGTCCCCCCCCCTTCTTTTTCTTCCTCTCTCTCTCTTTTTTAACCTGGAAGAAATTTGTAATCATTAAAACAGGATGAGGAAATGGAATTTGGCTTTCTTATCTTTTGAATCCCTCATCATTTCTCATGTATTGACTGCCTATTGTATGTCAGGCTCTGGTTTGGGCATGAAAGTATAAAGATGAAGGACTTAGAATTCACAGTTGGGAGTACAGTGGCTAGGTTTAGCACTAGTGAGACAGCTGTGTTCCCTGTTTGGTTATGAGCATGCAGATGTGGGAGCCAGACCTTTTTTTCTTTAAACTTACAGGTCCCACTTGTTTTAGAGACTGTGTACTTGTGTCACAAGTTAACCTATGAGGAAAATTAAAACGGATTCAGTCTTTCTGGTCACAGATTCTCTGTATTCCTATTCTTTAGCTGTTTAGGAATATAATAATTTTTTCTTTTAGTGAGAAATGTTCTTTCTTAAAATGGTAATCATTCTAGATATCTAGAAGCTTTTGGAAAAAGGCCCATGTGTCTTCTTTCTTTGGCGTTCAGGCTGGCCTTCCCACCTCTTTGCCATTTATAATTAAGGACAGACTTTAGTATTGTAATTTTTATTCTGATTAGGTAGGATCCTTTGGTTTAGAACAAGCAGGTTATCTCAGGATATGCAAAAAGTTCTTGAATTAGGTCTGTATTCGTGAAGTTCTTATGAACAATGTAACCTGATAATTTGAGAATCAAAATGACATTGTATCTTCTGGGTAAGTTAACCATTGTCAATATCCTGTAGCTAATGATGTTCTTTTGTATTATGCATTATCTTTTAGAATGTGATAATTCTGACCTTTAATAGTTTCATGTAAACTTATAACTGGATCATCTTTCCATTGCCTTTATGGAAAGTTGATACGTATTTGTGACTACCAACCCTTATGTTGGTTTCATGACTTTATCTTAATATAATTAAATTCCCCTTTGCTCAGAATCCAGGCCATCAGCAAGCTTAGATAACCAGATATGTTTTCAAATCTATATTTCCTCATCTTCAGTGTCTTCAAAAGAAGGACTCTGTTCAACATGGTTTTAGGGTTAAATTTATTACTGCATTTCACCTCTTCATTCAGTACTTATTATCAGGATATTCATAATCTCCTTGTTATCCAGCCTGAAATAGGATAGTATTTAGATGAGTCATTTGTGATACTCACCCTCAAAGTGTTTTCAACCTGAAAAGTAGCAAGAGAACACAAATGACCATTTCTCCCTTCCTACTGCCCCCCACCACCTGCCCTACAGTGACTTTCAATTTGACTGTGCTTATTTTTTCTGTGTTGGCTTATTGTTCCCATGGCCTTTCCTTACAGAAGCTGAGTGAATGTGAGATGATGTGTTTTTCAGTGCCCAACACTGTACCGACAGCATAAAAATACCAAACCAACAAATCAACCTCCTGATTGATAAAGAATCATTTACAATGTGATTTAAATCTTTCTCTTTATATAGTCTTGAGTCAGTTTCTGTTACTTGGGGTAATTAAGACTTTATCTAACTATTGTGCATATTCCAGTGAAAGAAGAATATTGTCATTACATTCATTTCTACAGTGCAGGGAAATATATGTTTGTATATTTCTGTTGTAATATTGGTATTTTAAGAATTAATGATTGTTCAATTTATCATCCTGTGTATCTCTGGATTAGAGCCATAAAGTTCCCCATTCAACTTTCTTTGTCAATTGCAATGAAGAGAATCAATTTTTGATATGGTAGTTTCAAACCCATTCTTGATGTATTCTTTCTAAAGGAGGAAGGGCCACATCCTTTGTATTTTTAGATAATGCTTTTTAAATATTTTATATCTTTTGCTGTGACTGTTCTAGTTGTCTAACATGACCCATCCTTAGACTGAGCCTAAGTGCATTTCCACTTTTGCTGATGCAAGTTAGAAAATAACTTACTGCCCCTTGTGTGGTTCACTTTAAAGTATGGTACTTGAAAACTACTGTTTATTGCCCTCAACCTTTTTATAACACATGTAGTTATTTCTGTTTTTCTGTGGATTGTCTCCCTTAAGTGATTTTCAAAAAGCAATTTTGTAATCGAAATCATTTAAAATATAACACTGTAATGCATTACATCTAGTACTTAAGTTTTGTCTTGATAATATTTTATTAGCACTAATGGTTTTTATTTTAAATTGTGATGTTGTTAAGCTGGAGAACCAACAGAGTAGGATTTGTTGATATATAAATAACTATTAAGTTTCAAAGAAGCTTCTGATTTTAAAATTTGAAGATATTTTTAAGACCTAAAAAAAATTTTTTTTTCAAAATAGAATTGCTTTGCCTTAAAAATTTTTTTTTTTTTTGGCCAAAAAAACTTTAAATATATTTTAAAGAGAACCAAAACAACAGCTCACTTTTTTGGAAGTTGATTTTTGACTATCTCAACCTTCTGGGAGTGACCAAAATAATATTTATGCCATAAAAACCTATGAGCACTTTGCTCTTAAAAATCCTTTAAGAATGTATGTATTCCTTTATTTGTTATTGTTGCTTTGTTTGTTTTTTTTTTCAAATACACAGACATTTAGCCATCTGACTTCTCAAAACTGATTGGAAACAGTAAGTGGAAAGCAACAGGCCTTGAGTCAAATGCATACTGCAGGAAACCACAGAAAATGGCTTGAGTGCAAGGGAAAACTCTAGATCTGCAGAAAGCAGACACACAGAAGCACCACTGAAGCCTTTTAACAAAGTAACAAAGAGCCTTGCACATTGAGAGTCATACATAATTATATTCATAATGGTAATTCAGTGATCAAGAAAAAATAAGGTCATTTCCTTGCTGAAAGTGTTGACATTTTAAAAGCATTTAGTCAAAACTAACAATTTATGTTGGTCCTTGAAAGGAATAAAGAGCTAGATTGATGGGTTGAGTAGCTGTTTGGGTATCCCTTATGAGGGATTTTGTCTATGTGTTGCCAAGATAGAGGCTTCCACAGGTGCCTTATATAAGTGGCAACTATGAATTGGTCCCATTCCTGCTGAAGTAGACAGTGCCCTCAAGTGGAGTTAAAACAAACACATTACCAAAAAAAAAAAAAGGAGAAAAAAGAGAACCACTTTGTGCCACTCGTGTGTCTGCCTTTATGACCTGTTACACAGATAGTTCAATAATGTTGGTTTAAAGGGGAACCAAACTCAGCCTGTTTTGGGTGATCCATAGGTCTCATTCTGGCTTGTAGAGGGACAGACTTCTTAAAATGTTACCATATGGAATACCCTATTATCTAATAATACTTTCTAAAAGGATTGTTACTCATTGTGTAGGTTTGCTAGATTGATTTATCATTAAGTTAAATGATTAAGCTTAAAATTTGGTTCATTACCTTAGGGGTATTTCTTTTCTAATTACAAGAATAAAGTAGATAAATATGATAGTGCTGTCAGTTGCAGCCATTACCTGGTATGATGGCAGTGTATACTTCTATTTGCAAAAGCATGGAATAAACATTGTATTTAGAAACCAAACAACCATATTCTTGTGACAGAGATTACATAGGTACTAGCATTCAGCAAAATAATTCATTAAAATAATGAAGTAATGTTTCAATTTGAACTAATGAAAATGTGTAGCTTTTAACCATCAGCTAAGGTAGGGTTGAGAATGAGGCTACATAATTGTGAAAGATATTATTCTTGTAAAATTTTTAAATAAAAATTTGAAGCTGAAAAATAGAATCTTTTTGTATTCCTTCCTTATATATATAGTTAAAATTGTGGCATTAAAACAACATATTTGTTGCCTTACTGCAGTTATATCCCCTTTTACAGAGTCCAGGTTTTGATTCTGGAAGTTTGATTTTGATGATATCTTTAATGTAATCAGGTTATAATATCTAGTATTTGTGATTGTGAACAATTAAGTTATAGTTATAATTAATGTGAGTAACATTTGACAAGCTAAGAATAAAATGTACAAGATTAAGGAAATGAAATTGAATCAGAGATAAAATGTTTCATTATCAAAATATGGAATACAAATAAATGGTAAAGTTTCAAAATGTGATTTTATGGTATTTTTATTGATAAAAGATGTTCAACATTATGATGAGTAACTTTATAACTTAAACTACATGTTCAGAAATGATAGCCTTTCAAGGAAAAATTTAAAATTTTTTTTATTTTTTGAGAGAGGGTCTTGCTTTGGCACATAGGCTGGAATGTAGTGGTGGGATCACAGCTCATTGCAACCTCCAGCTCCTGGCTCAAAGGATCTTCCTGCCTTAGTCTCCTGGGTAGCTAGGACTATGGTGTGCGCCACGGCACTTGGCTGATTTATTTTATTTTTGTAGAGATGAGGTTTCGCCATGTTGCCTAGGCTGGACTTGAACTCCTGACGTCAAGTGATCTTCCTGCCTCAGCCTCCCAAAGTACTGGGATTATAGGCCCGAATCACCGCATCTGGCTAACTTTTATGTGCACACATAAGATTTATGTGTGTTTTGCTCAAATACGGCAGCTTATCCATTTTAGTTAGGCAAGATACATTAAAAATACTACTTTTTAAGCTGGGCTCGGTGGCTCAGCCTGTAATCCCGTGCCTTTGGGAGGCTGAGGTGAGTGGATTGCCTGAGCCCACAGGTTTGAGACCCGTCTGGGCAGCGAGACCTCATCTCTACAATAAATCAAAAAAACCAGCCGGGCATGGTAGCGCTTGCCTGTAATTCCGGCTACTGGGAAGGCTGAGGCGGAAGGATCACCGGAGCCCAGCAGGTCGAGGCTGCAGTGACCGGGAGCGGCCACTGCACTCCAGTCTGGTTGACAGAGTGAGACTCCAACTCAAAAAAAAAAAATACTACTTTTTAAAGCTTAAAAATGTCAGAATATGTAATACAAAGATAATCTTCAAACTTTTTACTAGAATCTGATTTTATAAAATTCAATGTCTTCGAAACAAACTTTATTGTGTTGTCTTTGAAGGTACTTTACAGTTGACTTTCCTTAAATATGCATGGTTACAGCAGATACAAGTAATAATGCTATGTGTCTTTTAGATATTTTTGGACATATTTAATTTGTGTATATTTATTGGTCAAATGAGATTTTTAAAAGTCTTTAACCTTAATTTTAGGTCATGTAAAATGAAGTCTAAAACTTATTTTTGCTTGTTCACCAGGCATTTTGATTGGCTGTCTTTTTACAGCATGGACATCAAATTGCTGAAAACATGCTTTGGGACTGGCACTGAATTTATCTTTTGCAGTTTTAAGACAAACTTATTAGTAGTTCTCCTTTTTTTGAATTAATATTTTGAAGATACTATCACAATGAGTTCGGGCTTATGGAGCCAGGAAAAAGTTACTTCGCCCTACTGGGAAGAGCGGATTTTTTACTTAATTCTTCAAGAATGCAGCATTACAGACAAGCAAACGCAAAAGCTCCTTAAGGTACCCAAGGGGAGTATAGGACAGTACATCCAAGATCGTTCTGTGGGGCACTCCAGGATTCCTTCTACAAAAGGCAAGAAGAATCAGATCGGACTAAAAATCCTAGAGCAGCCCCATGCAGTTCTCTTTGTTGAAGAAAAGGATGTAGTGGAAATAAACGAAAAATTTACAGAGTTGCTTCTGGCCATTACCAATTGTGAGGAGAGGTTTAGTCTGTTTAAAAACAGAAGCAGACTAAGCAAAGGCCTCCAGATAGATGTGGGCTGCCCGGTGAAAGTGCAACTACGATCTGGGGAAGAGAAGTTTCCTGGAGTCGTGCGCTTCAGAGGACCCTTATTGCCCGAGAGGACGGTTTCGGGAATATTCTTTGGAGTAGAATTGCTGGTAAGTTTGATAAAGCACTTCAGTGGGCTATGTGAGTGTGTGTGTGTGTGTGCGCGCGTGTGAGTGTGCATGTGTGTGAGTGTGTATGTGTGTGTTTGTACTTACTGGTATGTACATGTGTATTTTTCTCCTTTAATTACAAAATACGTTTTCCCAGAAGTCTTTTGCGATTTTTAGTTTCATGATTCTTAGGATTTACTTTTATTTTTTTTGAGTTGGAGTCTCATTCCATCGCCCAGGCTGGAGTGCAGTGGCACGCTCGCGGCCACAACAGCGTTGACGTGCTGGGCTCCAACGATCCTTCTGCCTCAGCCTTCCAAGTAGCCAGAACTATAGGCTTGCGCTACCATGGCTGGCTAATTTTTTATTTTTTGTAGAGATGAGGTCTCACCAAGCTGTCCGGGCTGGTCTTGAACCTGTGGGCTCAGGCAGTCTACTTGCCTTGGCCTCCTAAAGTGCTGGGATTATAGGCTGAGCCACTGAGCTTGGCCAGGATTTACTTTTTAATGTTGAATTAAGATGGTGTAAAGATGATGCTTGAAACGCCTAAGAAAGTATACTATAGTAGGAACATACAAATAGATTACATGGTTACTGCAGACTTCTATAGGTTAGAAATTTTAACATTGTGTATATTAAAAATGAACTTTATCAATTGTAGTCACATCAAATTTTGTTAATTATCTTGTGACATCAATAGGTTTCTGTTAATGTGTGCTATTAAGTGATGACAATTTAGATGTAAGATTAAAAAAAAATAAGTTACAGCAATTTAAACTTGCTTATAGTTGTTCCTGATAATGTATATGAAAATCATCTGGGAATTTATTTTTACTGGAAAGAGACCCAAGCATTCTGTGATATGTTTCCAAACTTATATTCATTCTCAAAAACTTAAATCTCAATTACATTTTGACATTCTTGCAAATAGTGTTAAATGACTTTTTTGCTTCTTTATGTAATTTTTTTAAAGCACCGATTGTAAACAATTAGAAATTTGAATCCCAGTTATGCCATTGAGTAGCTGGATTACCAGGTTATGTAACAAAACTACTTAACTTCTCCAAATCTGCTTCCTTATCTGCAAAATGGTGTTAATATTACATGACTTACAGTGTTTTTGTGGTACATTGATACAGGATTTAGCATAGTGGCTGCCATATAGTAAGTAGCTATATAGCTAACATTATTATCTTAAAGTAAAATTTTGTTTTTATGACAAAATTAATGTTAGACTCACACTATAGAATACAACCCAACTTTTTCATAGTAAATTGTGATTTAAAATTAACCCCATCAACAAGGGTGCCTGCATAATGAACATTTGTATACCTAACCCTAATTGTACCCCACATCTTTTAAAATAAAATAAAATAAAATGAAATAACCAGGTAATTTTGTTTCAGCATCAGATACAGTTTTCTCCTTATTTTTAAACACCCTAAATCCAACAGCAACTGCTAATAATTATATTTCTTTTTTTATCAGCTGAATTTAAGATTCATATATTTGTTATTATATGTCATTTAGGATTTTTCCAGAATGATTGCCCTGAAATTCTCAGAGTAGATCCTTTTTTCCCATGGGTCAACTTTCTATATTTATTTACTTATTTATTTTTCTCTCTCTTAAAAACTAGGAAGAAGGTCGTGGCCAAGGTTTCACTGATGGGGTATATCAAGGAAAGCAGCTTTTTCAGTGTGATGAAGATTGTGGTGTGTTTGTTGCGTTGGACAAGCTAGAAATCATAGAAGATGATGACAATGGATTAGAAAGTGATTATGCAGGTCCAGTGGACACAATGCAGGTTGAACTTCCCCCTTTGGAAATAAACTCCAGAGTTTCTTTGAAAGTTGGAGAAACAATAGAATCTGGAACAGTTATATTCTGTGATGTTTTGCCAGGAAAAGAAAGCTTAGGATATTTTGTTGGTGTGGACATGGTAAGAAAATTTCAGATTAAATATCTCTGTGAATATATGTATTAGTTTTATGAACAATTTAGTTGCAAATTGTATAATTTGAATATTTAAAAATGGACTGATTTGGAGTGCTAACTTATCTTTGGTAAAGGAACATTGAAATAGGACAGGAGTCTAGATATAGAATTACATTTACTCTTTTTTCCAGTTTGAATGAATTGGAATAATGTTCTCAATCTTTAAATTTGCTTTCTTGTAGTTGACCAGTAGACCAAAAAGCCCCAAGTGGATTATATGATCTCTTCGATTTCTTTTTCGAAAAGGTTTTTCTTTTATAATCTATGTTTTTTTAAAAAATGATAGTTTACAAAATTTTATTGACCGCTCTGGTTTTGTGTAGAAATCATTTACAGAAAATATCTGAGTAGAGGAAATCCACATTGCTTTTGAGGAATAGACAATTAGAATATTTTCATCGAGTGTCATTCATTTAATGTGATAAAATATACATAACATAAAATTTACCATTTTAGTTATTTTTAAATGTACAAGTCAGTGGCATTAAGAGTATTCACATTGTTGTACAATTACCACTACCTATCTCCAGAACTTTTTCACCATCCCAAACTGAAGCTCTGTACCCATTAAACAATAACTTTCCCCCAACTCTGTTAATCATACTTTCTTCTACTTCCTGTCTCTATGAAGTTGCCTAAGTGCTTCATTTAAGTGTTTATTGTTTAATTTCTAGGATAATCCTATTGGCAACTGGGATGGAAGATTTGATGGAGTACAGCTTTGTAGTTTTGCAAGTGTTGAAAGTACAATTCTATTGCACATCAATGATATTATTCCAGGTATGGTTTATGTTTTATATGTTTATAAGGCAGACTTTCTAAAATATGTTTTGTCATGAGGATGTAAATATAAGCTTCAAGATACACTTTTGGGACTTTACTTTTATGTTATGGAATTGTTATTAAATAAACTGTCCTTTCCTAGCACCAAATAAAAACAATCAAGATTTTTATTTCCAGAAGTATGTCAGTGTGCGATGGCATTTATACATATCATTCATTTTTTCATCACCTACCCATTCTAAGAGGGGAGAACCCTTTCTGGTAATTAGAAGGCTTAGAAAATGTAGTAAACTGCTACCTGTTTGAGAGCTTGGTTCAAATTAGAAGACTTTAAGCAGAGATTGGTCATTTAATCTAGTCTGTGGAGCATATTCTAGCTAGATGATTTATGAGACCCCTTTTGTTTTGAGAAGGTTTAATTTATCAGGGGTCATGACTCTAGTGATTGCTGAACTTTGCATCTTAAAAATCTTAAACAATCTTTTATTTTGCCTCAAACTAGTAGTTCCCAATGGCTGCTGTCAGGTAATTGACAAATTCCTGTTGATGGCAACATCAACAGTTCCATCCTCCTGCTGTTAGCAGACTTCTCAATGCTAGGCTAGTGGAATGAAACTAACAGTGGCAATCAGAGATGGTGATGCTTACTGAGCATTATGCAACTGTGACTAAAATGTCAGAAGGCCTGCAAGTAGGCTCTAGTCAGGAATGTACCAGGTCCTGAATTAGATGACATATACTTTTTTTACATTCTTAACAAACCTATAAGGTAGGTCTTGATCCCATTTGGGGTTCAGATAGGACAAACATTGCCTATCATCAAAATGAGTGGTGGAGCCAGAATTCAGATCCAGACCTGTCTGACTATAAAACTATGCTCTGTTCAGTATCTCCCCACCCCAAATCCTCTATGTATATTTAGTATATTAAGACCTGCATAAAAAAACCATACTTCTCGGTCTCACATATATACTTGGGAATATTGTTTCCATGGAGATATATTTTGTCTTTAATTCTATAAATACTGAATTTTGCTATAGCAAGGATCACAATTGAACAGGCAGACTCAATTGTTTTCTTCAGGTCATTTCAGGTCTTCAGTTTTTTTTTGTAAAAATGGAGGGGCTAATACTACATGATTTTGAAGATTCTTTCTAGTCTGCACTATTCGCCCTTCCTGTTTCCCTATTGGTGGGACAAGTCACCAATGCTTGTTGTTCAAGTTAGGACATGCTTTCTACTTCAGCTTTTAGCTTTACAGCAAGAGAACATTACTTTGTTTGGAGATATGGGATTCAAATTTTAGCATGATTTCAATTTTGTTTTGGAAAAGTGTAATGAGTATTAAGAATAATAATGAATACTCATTTCAATTACCACCCAGGTTAGAAACAGAACATTATAAGTATCTTAGAGACCACCTGTGTACTTTGTCTTCATTATAATTGTAATCTCCTCCTAGGGGTAACCACTCTTCTGATTATTTTTCATTAATTATTTCCTTGCTTCTCTTTATAGTTTTATCATATCTCTATGCCTAAACAATATATTGCTTAGTCTGTTTTTGAACTTAATAAATCATATGGACTTTTAAAATTATTTGTATTGTTTACTTAAAATGTATTTTAAGATTCCTTTCGGTGGATGAGGGTGTTAATAGTTCATTAACTCTCACTGATTCAATAGTATATTTCATTGTGTGAATATCTCACAATTTAGTGGCTCATGCTAATATTAATTGACCTTTGCATTTTGGTTTATTTCCACCTCTTCAACACATGGCACTGATTAAAATTTTTGCCAGTCTGACAGCCGAAAAATGGTATCTCAAGGTGGTTTTAAAACTTGTAGTTCTCTGGTTACAACTACCTTTTCGTATGTTTATGGAACATTTGTATCTTTTTCTATTAAATGCCTCTTGGTGGTTTTTTAAAGCTTATTTCTCTGTTGTGTTGTTTATTGATTCATAAATTCTCAGTTTTTAAAATTTCAATGCAATTTTTTGAACATTTATTGTAAATGTCATACATAACAGAAGAGTGGGAAGGCTTCTATATTGAGCATCCCTGTATGTACCATCTAGCTCCTGCAATTAATGTCTCACTGTACTTGCTTTCTCATGGATCTGTCCAGCTCTCTACTTGTGTACTAATCCATCTCATGTTTTTCATGTGTTTCAAATTAAGTTATAGATATCAATACACTTCCTCCTAAATACTTAAGCATGCAAATAATTAACTAGAGATAAGTATTTAGGGTTTTCTTTTTTCATTTGAGATAGAAGTCACACATGTGATAAAATGCACATTGCATTATTTGAGTTTTAACTAATAACCTTGAATTAGGAACCCTTATCAAGTTATTAAAACAATTTTAATAAGAAATGCTTTCACAGATCTCAAATAAAATATTTTATTTTTTTGAGTCAGGGTTTCACTTTGTTGTGCAGGGTGGAGTGCAGTGGCATAATTACCGCTCCCCACATCTTTGACCTCTAGGACTCAGGCTATCCTTCTGCCTCAGCCACCCAAGTAGCTGGGACTACAGGCATGAGACCACACCTGGTTACTTTTTTATGTTTTGTAGAGAGGATGTCTCCCAATGTTGCCCAGGCTGGTCTCAAACTCCTGGGCTCAAGCAGTCCTCTTGCCTCGGCCTCCTAAACTGCTGGGATTATAGGCAGAAGCTATCGTGCCTGGCCTTCAAATCAAGATTAAAAGTATGGTAAATTATCTTGTTTCCATTTTTAGTCCCTCTGCCCCAAATGCCTGCACACTCTATCCCTTATTTCCCAATAGTAACAGTCTTTTAGTTTTTTATGTATCTTTCCAGTGTTTCTTTATATAACGTAAGTATACATTCTTATTTCCACTTCCCTTTTAATAGAGAAAGCATACTCTATACACTAGTCTGCCTTTTTCTTTGTCTTTATATCTTAAAACTCTTTGTATATCCACATAGAGAATTCTTATTTTCTTATTATAGTGTATAATTTTCCATTATTTAGAGAAAATTCCATAATTTATTTAAACAGTTTCCTATTGAAGGATATTTGGGTTGTTTCTAACCTCCTACTATTCCTCACAATGCTACAATAACCTTGTACATATATATATTTCCACATATGCTAGTGTATCTGTGGGATGAATTTCCCAGAAGTAGAGTTATTTGATGAAGTGGTACTTGTGTTCGTATTGTTCTAGGTATTGCTAATTGCCTTCAGTAGTGGATATAGCAATTTGTATTCCTAACAGCAGAATACAAGGGAAACTTTTCTTATAGCTTTCCAATGAGAGTATGTTGTTAAATTTTTCCAACCTAATAGATAAAAAATATATTTCAATGTAGTTTTAATTCACATTTCTCTGATGAGTGGTGTTTAATATCTTTTCATATGATTAAGGGCAATTTATATTTCTTTGTGAACTGTTCATATTTGTTGTCTGTTTTTAAATTGGATGAGATTTTTGATCTTTTGTCATCAAACTTCTTTCTCTATGTGTTAGGGAGGCAAACTGTTTTGTTATGTGAGGTGAAAATGGAACCCACTCCTCCACCCTCATTTGTCATTTTTAAAGTTTGTTTATCTGGTCACCCTAATTTGTTTTTATTGTGGTAAAATATACATAAGGTATATCATTTTAATCATTTGAATTGTAATCCAGTGTTCTTAAGTGCATTTACAGTGTTATGCAACTGTCACCACTGTCTATTTGCAGACCTTTTTATCATCCCCAACAGAAACTCTAGGCACATTGAGAAATCACTTCCCATTCCCCCTTCCCTCCAGCCTCTGGTACTTCTGTCCTCTACTTTCTGTCTTTGTGAATTTGCCTACCTAGGTACCTCATGTTAGTGGAATCGCATCATATTGGTCATTTCTATCTGATGTATTTCATTTAGTGTAATGTCTAATGTCTTTTGACTTTGTTTTTGGTATTTTTTGCCATGTAGGATTTTAAAAAATGTTTGTGTAATTAAATTTATCAGTTTTGTTTTAATACCTTCTGGATTTGGAGTCACTCTAAGGTTATGAAGAAATTTTCTCATGTTTGCTTCCAGGACTCTGTAGTTTTAAATATATATATACACACATCTATATGAATATGAGGGAGAGTGGGCCGCTTGTAGTAAAGGCTACCCCCACAAGGTAAGTTCTAGGAACCCACTGGCATCAGTGCCAGCTAGTATTGTAGTGAGAGACTGCGTTCAGCTTCAGTTAATTTTTTTTTGGAGAGTCTTTAAAAACATCTGTTCATTTCATGATGGGTGATTTATATAAAAAACCTGTCCACACCATGCTCAGTGTTCAGTAGTTTTTGACCAAAAACAGCATTACCCCATACCCTACCCTCCCTGTTCAAGCCATCTGACCCTGAGCAACTTGTATTTATTTCTTTGGATGAAGAAAGTCCTCAAAAGAAAATGATTTGCCAGTGTGGATGTGGAAGAGGTAAAAATGAAAAACAACAACAGAAAAAGTGGCACAAACCCTAAAAGGCATAAAAATTTATGAGCTCAAAAACTGAGCAGTGGAAAAAGCATCTCAATAGGTGTATTGCATCAAACAGAGAGTACTTTGAAAGTAACTGAAGTTTAAACATGTAAGAATAAATACACAATTTTTTATTAAATTCTGTTCTTTTTGGGTCCATATATGTATATGTATGTATATTTGATCCATTTTTATTTTATATGGTATATGATGTGAAATATAGATCTACTCTAGTTTTTTTCCCCCCCTCAGATATGTACCCAGTTGTCCCAATATAATTTATTAAGAAGTCCACTTTGGGAGGCTGAAGTGAGTGAATTGCCTGAGCCCGCGGGTTCGAGACCCGCCTGGGCAGCGAGACCTCATCTCTACAATAAATCAAAAAATCAGCCGGCCATGGTAGCGCGCGCCTGTAATTCCGGCTACTCGGAAGGCTGAGGCGGAAGGATTGCCGGAGCCCGGCAGGTCGAGGCTGTGGTGGCCGGGAGCGGCCATTGCACTG